TCTGTTAATTTCCTAGTACATGGACATGAAAGTGAAATTTGACAAAACTGATTAAAAAAAAGGTTGCAACGTTTTCCAATGATGCACTGCGGCATTCTGCATGGTGGGTTCTAAAGCAGGATTTGTGCTGCAAATTCAAAAAAATTGAAGTTTTGTCTCTTGACTTGTGCATTGTAATCATGCACGGTACATGTACCGGTATACACGCCTAGGTTTCGAGTATTCAAATCACGTTCACATCTGTCTACATGTAACTAGTGGATTGCGTATCAAAAAGATAATCACATTCGCTGTCTGTTACTCATACCCTAGGCAGTCCTGGGCACAGGGCATGCCAAAATCTCTTTTTCTTCTTTTTTCTTTCCCCCGTGAGCACGGTAAAGGATCCAAATCATTACAAATTTATTGCTTTTTTTCTCTGTCTCCTAATGGAACATGTTGCTATGGTGACTCTAAGCCCCGGCAAACTGGCTATTGATTTTGTGGAAAATGTCACGTCAAAAATTTTGATTTGATCGTGTTTACCATGGCGTTATTGAGTGTTTTGGCCCACTGGTGAAGATACCGGGGTAACCGTACATGTACGTACCGGATTGGTACACGGACAATTTATGTTTCATTTTTGAGTGCTCACTGCATTGGAAAGCCCAGGTTCTATTGATTTTGGCCTTGAAAAGGGTGGAAATGTGTTTTCAGATGGTCCGGTGTGCTGAGTGACTGATTTCTGCATGCAAAATACACTTGATTGAAGTACACGTACATGTATGTATCCTACTTGTACCGGAAGTTGTTTTCTAAAATTAAAGGCAATATACAGGTACAACATTTGCAAATATCAAACACAAAACTACCAAATTACTATGAAATACACAATGTACACATGTACCTTACTGGACTGCTACTGAATGACAGTCTAAAGCATCCTGTACAATCCTGGCACCTGGTGTGCTGTCATTTTCAAGAAAAATGGTATTTTTGTATCAATTTCCAATTCTGGTTGGCCGACCGGTGTTGGAATAACTTGGTTATTTTTTCAAATGTCCCCAATGTATTTTTAGTAGCATGTACCACTAGTCCTCATTAAATTTGCAATCGATTACACACCTACCGATATGAACAGGTACCGGTAAACACGCCAGCTAGGTTGGTTCCCTGACCTTACAATTCCCCGACGTATATAAATTGCTCTGAACCAGTTCGTATGTATACACGCAAAGGTTTTGGGGTATTCAGAACGAATGATGGATAAACACGCAGGAGAGCGAGGCCGGAAATATGAGTGTGCTGCCCGAGGGTGATGGCTTGGAACCAGCCTGGCTAGAGGTTGAGTGAAAAATAAGCCCACCCTCATTCCATTCTTGTCGAAATAATCCCGGCGCGAACTGGTTAAGTGAGGTCAGGTAACCAGACTGCAGTACCATGATTGTTTTTCTTGGTTTTAAAATAGTAACCCCCAAATCCATGGGCGTTGTGAGGTGGGGGGGGGGGGGGCAACCCGAAACCAAAGAAAAGCAAAAACAAATTTTTTTTTAAAAGCAAGAAAAAATAGAAAAGAAAAAGAGGCGCAAAGTCATATCGGTGTAAATTGAATGGGTTGGGGGGGATGTCCCTGCCCCCCTCTAAAACTGATAAATCGAGAATATGTTGAGAAATACATGTACAGGAATTTCTTGGGGAAAAAATATGTTTTGCCCCCCTCTATAAAAAAAATCCTGGTGACGCCCATGCCCAAATCATCCATTTCTGAAAATTGTGACAGGATGTATTTTTTTTTTTTTATCTTGGATGAAAAAAAACCAAACATTTTCACATACGTGTACATGTACCAGTACCTGTACCGTACATACACAATAAGTTATTTTTGGAATTGTCCACCTCTAATTGCAAATTGTAAATGCACTGCGTACATGGCGTAAGTCAGAAGGGAGGCGGTTGATTTCACAAAAGGATTTTATTAGCGTTTCCACTGAAGGCATTGTCATTGGCAGTTACGGCCGTAGATGACGCAAAAAGGTTTGTAATTGTCTGGGGGAGCAGCGCATTAATTCACCTAATGGTCCGGCAATGGACTAATGACATCTAGTCCGTCCACCTGGGACCGGAGAGTATCGCAGTTTCGGGCTCTGCATGATCCGCTCTATGCAATTCTTTATTTTGACGACAACCTGGAGAATAGTTTGACATTTTGAGCAAGTGTACCGCTGGGACAAGTTTTTCTTGGGGGGGGGGGGGGAGGTGGGGAGTAAGGATGGGAGCTTTGTGAGATGCTGTGCACGATGCCTTTGGGAAGGGTTGGTTATTTATAAGTTGAGCTGTTTTGTATGCATTGATTTGGGTTTAATAATAGAAGATGTTGTACGGTCCAGAGTATACAGTATCGCTTACAAAATGTGCATGTGTTTTTGTGTCTACTCTATTAGATACATGTACATGTACAATGTCTAGTGTTGATTCACAGGATGTTTGTAATACTGGCAGACGTAAAGCGCACCTGTAAAAATTAACCATGTATTGTAGATGTTAAAGGGAATATATACATCATTTGCTTTTGCTGTAATTTTCAGAAATGGATGGAATTGGGGGGTTGGAAATATATAGCAAATATACATGTAGTTACACTGACATTTTTGAGGTTTTGGGTTCGAAAATGCTATAAAAACCAAGAAAAACAATCATTTTCCTGTAGTCTGGTTCCCTGACTCCATTTAAGAAGAAACAGAGCAGTTTACACATATTGGGGAATTGTAAGGTCAGGGAACCAGTCTAGCTGGCTTGTACCCGTTCATAGGTGTGTAATCGATTGCAAACAAGTGCGATGGTCAACTTGGGCCAGTATTTGAAAAAAAGCCAGTTTTTTCCAACGCTGATCGGCCGATCAGCGTTGGAAATTGATACAAAAATACCACTTTTCTTGAAAATTACAGTATACCACTTTACCAGGTGCCATGATTTTACAGGATGCTTTACACTGTCATTCACTAACAGTCCAGCAAGGTATTTCAAAATGATTTGGTAGTTTTATTTTTTGATGTTTGCAAATGTTGTATTTTCCCTTTAAAGACAAATGCTCAGATCACGGTAATGTAAAAGTATCACTCAGATCTAGTGGTGGGATTAAAATCCGGATTTTTAAAAATTCGCTTGAATTCCACTTTTTGGTTTGGGTTTTAGAAACCGGAACAACAACTGGAAAATCCCCCGATTCGTTCCATGATCTTAGATTCACTCGCTAGCTATCTTTTTGGTTCATGAATACCCTACCCATTCGTCTAATTTCTTTTCCCACATTACAGCTCTGGAGAAATTGCGAAGGCCCTGTGCAGTGGTCATTCAGTCACTGCAAACTGCCGGTACCGGTATGCCAAATCATTGTGAATGTGACACCTCACTTGCCACTTTCTGTTGGCATGACTGTGACCTGAATGGGAACTTCAGGTGAAATCGGATTTTATTACTTCGGTTTGAAAAAAAGTTAGCATTTACTGGATTTTCAAATCTCCGATTTCTCCCACCACTACTCTGATCCATGGAGTTTTTTCCCCCTCAGCTATGGCAAGACACCCGGTAACTTTGAAAACTACAGATCTTTTTTGGAGTGATCAAGATTTTAAGAATGGGCAAAAAATTACAAGCTACATGTGGGAACATAAAAACAAAGACCTAGAAAAATGTGTTAGGCCTAATTATCTTCATTCTGTATGCACATAAGTACATGTACAACATTTTGTCAAAGTTATTGTGTGTACATGTAAAATTTATGTACAAATGTACATGTACTTCTGAGTGTTAAAGGGAAGATACAACATTTGCAAACATCAAAAAAGGAAATGATCCAATTATCACAAAATACCGGTACCTTACTGGATTGTAAGGGAATGACAGTCTAAACTGTAAAATTGTGGCTCCTGGTGTACTGACATTTTCAAGAAAACTTGTATTTTTCCAATGCTGGTCGGCCGACCAGCGCTGGAGAAAACTGGCTATTTTGTGGCTCCTGGTGTACTGACATTTTCAAGAAAACTTGTATTTTTCCAATGCTGGTCGGCCGACCAGCGCTGGAGAAAACTGGCTATTTTAAAAAACTAGCACTCCGTATTTGTTATATTGAGTTATTCCACATTTTCTTTGCAATTGATTACACACCTGTGAACGGGTACAAGCCAGTTAAATTGATACTCTGGCCATACAGTTCCCAGAAGTCTATAAATTGCTCGATTTCATCTCAAGTGGGGTCAGGGAATCAGACTACAAGAATATAATTGGTTTTCTTGGTTTTTCCAGCCAAAAATGTGAAACAAGTCAGTTTAACAATATTTGCTAAAACATATATGTAAGTCCTCCAAATGCACTTATTTCTGAAAATTGCAGCAAAAGCCAATGTTGTACATCATATATACATTCCCTTAACAGAATCCACAAAATGATTTTGTAATTATTAACTTGCATGATGCACACTATTTGTGAAAAGTATTACAAATTGTTAGATTCCTAAGGTTAATAAAAGGTCAAAATAAGTAGTACATGTACTGGTGTACATGATGTACATGTACATGTCCGCAAAACACAGTGTCACGGTTTCCCTGTGACCTAGGATGCATTGCCTACAATCCACAGTCATAGCCTTTACAATGTATGTGTCATTCTTATGCAAACAATCAAATGCTTGACTGAGTCGGTAGTTCACAAATTTTGTTCATGTGTCAGCCGCATAAAAGTGTACAGTGTACCCTGTATCCATTGGCTGTAGTACTGCTCTTTGTTATTGTGTACACAATAGAGATCTACCTGCGCACTGTTTGGACTAAAGGCAGATCAGCCTATAAAAGAGTAGTGACGCACTTTAACTGTCAGGCATGGGACCCGACCATCGCACTGGCCATTTAAGGAAGTAGGTACTTTATAAATAACCCAGTCATCTGCATGTGACTAAAGGCACGCTTGTGCACCGATTCATCATGGTTCCTAGATAAAGTTTTAGCGTCGATCCTACCATATCAGTCTATTCTGGGAAAGCAGTACTTGTTTTATTATCTTGTGATTCATTGGGCGAGTTCATCAGCTTGGCTATAAAAATATCTGACACCAAACAAAGTTTATTTGCAAATAAAAGGCACTGCTTATCACAGCTGCAACAGTAACTGGGAATGAACACAAGATCACACAACAGGGACCGGTAAATTGGATTATAATTGTCCTGCTTGTTTGAGTTTGTCGTTAGTCCACACCTGTACCAGGATTTGTGTTTGGGAATATATTTTTCATAGCTGAGTTTCCCTTTAGAGGTGAAGTACATCAATCGGATTGGGTAAGTTTGTGGGCTACATGTACATAGGTTGTTTCCTCAAACGTGGACTTTTAACCCTAACCCCCTAGGCCCTTGTTGCTTACAACCATCCTCAATCCTCCAAAATTTTGCAACTCCGCCTAAATTTTTCAAAATTGTCAGACAGTCCTGCCTCAAAATGCATTCATCCTCAATCCTCCAAAATCCTCCTCATCCCAAAATTTTGCACTCGTGTTTAATTAATTAAGGATAAACCAACGCCAAATCCTTCAAAATCATCAGACAGTCCTGCCTCAAAATGCATTCATCCTCAATCCTCCAAAATCCTCTTGGGCTTCAATCACCATTCATCCTCAATCCTCCAAAATCCTCATGTGCTTCAATTACCATTCATCCTCAATCCTCCAGAATCCTCATTTGATTCAATCACCATTCATCCTCAATCCTCTAGAATCCTCCAAAACCGCCAGGAGGATTTTGGAGGAGTGAGGTGGGTTAGGGGTATTATACTGGGCTATTTGCCGCAAATGTGTATTTTTTTTCAGCCATCAGGGGGACTACCTAAAACAAATTAATTTTCATCGTTCATTTACAAATTTATATCAACATTTAATTTCCAAAATGCTACATGTATGTGTTCTGCCAATTCATATATTAATAGACATTTTTTCAAAGGAGGCATACATGATAATGTGCTTATTAAAAGAAATGCCTTGAGGAAAAATGAGAAAATGTAATAAAGAAATATATGACATACATGTAGGGGCATATTGTTACAAAACCATCATAAAGATAGACTAAAAAGTACCTACAGTTGGACAACAAAGAATTTGTATGTATTGCTTCTCGTACATATACCAATAATATGAACAACACAAAATTAATGCGTGAATTTACAAACGTAAACAATTTGTAGGCCCCCCTATTGCTGGAATTCTGACACTATTATCAAAATTCAACCAACTTTTTAAATAATTTCTGCATAATACAGTGAAAATACTGTGCAATATGCATTGCATGTGGCACTTTTTAACATGTGGACATCAGTGATTTTGCACATTGCACACTTTTTTTGCTGATTCAGTGAACTGTCATTGTTCAGATGACGTCAGGAGCTTGCAAAAGTCTTTTCAATTATTCTGTGTGAGTGCTTCCGCACAAAAGGAAACTCAAGAGCGTACGGAACTACATTCAATTGATACATCATGTACATGTACATTGTATACTGTACAGTGACTGTATGTACTAGTAATGTGCATTTGATTGGAAGTGGTCTATTGTCGGAAACCCCTCGGACAAACACGTTCACCACTCAAACAGTTTGGACTTTGTTTTTTTAAAGAAGCAATTCCAATAAATTCAAATTCGCAGAATTGATGGAAAAACATGGGTTTGTATATTGTGTAAAATAAATACATATGTACATGTATACGTGTACATGTACCATGTACATGTACATGTACATGTACATTAATTATATTGTGCATTGTTTATGTTATTCTTGCAGTTTCTGAAGCAGTTTTTAAAGTAGTTTCTAATTAATCTACATTAATTAACCCCTAACCCACCTGAGCAATTCTCCTAAATCTTCCTAGATTGAGGATGAATGGTGTTTGAAAAGGAGGAGGAATTTGTTTGTTTTTAAAATCAAGTTTGCCTGCTTGCAAGGGGTGTGAACAACGATAGAAAACAACACGGGTACCTGAGAACGCATCGTTAAGAATCCCAACCCCAAACTTACATTTTATAAATCCCGGAAACTGCTGTTCAGATTGTTCATAAAGGTCCGTGCGACATCGGTGTGTCAATACAGCAAGACACAAGTGTGTACAGTGAGCTTTTACGGTATAAACTGTAACTTCAAGAGTGTTACGTGAATTCATGCATAAAACGTGAAATATGTTTTGCTTTCCCATAGTTTTCATTTTTGATAATTCTCCACAAACGTCATTCAAAACCCTTCTTTTTCAAGTCACTGAGTAATTTGTTAAATTGGTTACGGGTACCCGATCCCATAATCTGCAACTGCTTCATGACATCAGTGGTCTGGATACTCAGTACCTGGTGTCGATGCACATCCCTGTACTCCCTGCCTGCGCCTTTTGTTGAACTTGAAATGTGCATTAGCTGTGAGTTTGTTATAATATTGATCCTGCCAACCCCCACAGACCCGGCTGTCTTGAGTGTGTATTTCCTCCTTGTCTCTCTCGCTCAGCTCCGAGGTGTTAGAATAATGCATATTGTATTGGCTGGCCGGGGGCCGCAGGGGTGAGACATTTGACTTTGTAATGAGTCAGGAGAGGGGTGTCATAATTGTCTTGAAGTGTTAACCTGTCCGCTGGTCCGGACGTTAATTACCGCAAGAATGTAACACTTGTCTTGAAACTGAATATAAATCACATCGTGTGTATTTTTTTAATATCATGGTGGAAAATATTGTTTGTAAACTCTGAAATGTGAAAAATTGATGTGGTTTTGTCTCGCATCAGAGAACAATCACTAAAACTGTAACAGGATATTCCCTTTTTCATGAATAAATATTTGCTAGAGGCTTAAAAAAAACACCTGAATTATTGAGCTGCAAAAAGTTTGAACTTGTTTTCAAATTAAATGCAGTAGGGGGCCTACTGGTACTTCTTTATGTGTGCTACATACATGTGTACTCCATGTAGTTTGTAACAGATGGCTGGCAATATTTCAGGTACATGTATATATGTAGGGCGATTTTTCAGAAATTGAAACAAAATTAATTTTGGGGAAAAATAATATTGATATGATGTAACACAAGCGATTATTGTGCACTAAAGTGTTGATTATCAAGGAAAGATGCAAATGTCTTAAGAGCTTTCATAAGTTACCCGGTAGTCTTTCCATGCATACATTGGCATAAATTTAATTACAAAATGTCACACATGTGACCGATCAAAATAATCACACGTGACCACAAAACAATTCCCATAAATTTGGTTAAAATAAAGCAGAGGGGAACACTGTGAATCACAAAAGACTAGTCCTACTCCAAAATTAGTATGGGTGTGTGTGTCTAGAACTTTGGAGGAAAGTGTGAATTTCCGATGTGGGCCGATAAGATTTTTACGTCTGATATGTCACACACGTGGCCAAACTTTGATGACCCCTCCTAATATGACACAATTTGTGAAAGCAGAAACTATACTCAGAATTGTGCTAACCTGATGAATCGGTGAGAGTAACATGTCAGATGTACATGTAACTTAACAAGGGATTACAATTAGGCCTAAAGCTTCAAAAATCAGACGAGCCCAAACCAAAGAATGGCCCAGTATAGGTTTGTACTGTACATGACCACAGCACTGTCCACCCAGTATTGTACTACATGTATGTCCTAGAAGTTGCAGAAAAAAGGAAAACTTATTAACAAATTTATTTCCAGTTGAACAAACTTTCCGAAGCTACCCAACGAGATTTCAAAGTTAATGAGGTGCTTATAAAACTGGCGCTTATAAAATTTATTGTTGGGTGAGAAGCAGTCCAGGTTGTAAAATTGAATAAAAAGACATTGTTTTTCTACCGGTACCTTTTTTCTCTTCTTTATTTTTTGTTTATTTCCCCATCTTTTATGCATACCGGTATATGGGTAGTCACAGATGAAAGGACATGGAATTTGCAGGGAAGTGGTCTTGTCACAGTGCACACGCAAACGTTGACTGTTGTCAAATAAAACAAATAAAAGAGGGGGGTTTGACCAGGAAATGTGGGATAATCAAATATCGCAGCAGGATATAGTCACAGGGATAGCCAGTCTTCCTTCCTCTGACCAGGAGGATAAACACAAGTGCATCACACGGCAAAAAGATTCCTTTTCACATGGAGAAGGCCTCGAGCAGAGCTGGGCTGCCATCAAACCAGGAACACTAGCATTCAAGTACATGTACCTGTGTACCCGTGTAGGTATCTTTTGTGAAACTTGGTCTGTACGGTACATGTAATTTGCATTTCTGCATGTTGCTCATGGAAAAGGCAGGATTATCTTTCAACTGATCTGCTTTAAATTTGCATGCAGTACATATTATTCCAGTTTAATTTCTGGTGAGCTTATAATGTAACAATGTGAGAACAGTTCAGAATTAAAACTCTGCGCTATATATGATATATTCGAGCCGATTTGTGTGCCATCTCTAGGGGGCGCTATTTTAGATGATTTACGGACTCGCTGTTTGCAAAGTTTAACAAAGTTGATGAAATTTCATTTTTCAGGGTGTACAATGTACACGTACTTGTGTATCAACTATCTTGTGAACATTCTCAAGTTCACACATTATGTACCCTTTAAAATTAATTTTTATTTTGTTCTTGAATGTTTTAGTCCAGTGATCATGATACATGATCCCCATTTTGGCTGTCAAAAATGCCCCATTAGGCTGACTGCAGTCTAGTGGTTACATCATACATGCATGGGGTCTCTTTACACTTTATGCCTCATTTCTTCTGAGCCTACAAATTATCTTGCATCACTTTACATGTTGACAGTGAATTTTCTGGTCCATTACCATTGCTGTGGATTAATTACAAGCACTGTCATCAGTGTCTTTGCATTGTCACTTCCTCTGAGTGCTATCAGCTTATTACAGTGTTGGTACCATAATTGATGCACCATACCGGAACATGTACATACATGTATGTGGTTTATGTACTGTAGTTATGTGCTGTTTAAACCATTGCTATGACGTCACACTATTGTTAAAAGTGTGGATTCGGATCTACGAATCTCTTACACTGGTCACAAAGTGTTGATTCGGAACTACATGTACGAATCTTTAGTAAAGTGTGGATTCGGAATTACGAATCCACACTTTGAACACGTCGGACAATGTTCTCCATAATGAGCATGAATAGGACCGTCTGCGTGAAAATTTCCTTTCCACAAATTACCAATGCATCTTCACTGTCAGATTCTCCGCCGTCACTGCAAAATCTACTTTTAGTCAGAAAGAAATCGTCGTCTGAACTATCCATTTTGACCGTAAGGAGCCTATACACACAAAATGACTTGGTTGTACGGGTGTGGCATTACACATACTAAACACGCCAGGAAAAAAATGTTGCAACCTGACGCCACTTCCGCGCTTGTGTACAAAGTCTATGCGAGTCATTTCAAGTATTTCCTAACAAAATTGGAAACATTTCTCAGTCCCAGATTCATGTCTTATCATTTTTGCAACGAATGACCTTCATTGAGATGATATACGTGTATGAAGAAAAAAGTGGCGTCAGGTTGCAACATTCTTTCCAATATTTCTGTTGACGCAATAGTTTAAGTCGAAGAATACACTCGCAAGTGTGGATTCTTAATTTACGAATTCACACGGCGCTTTGCGCCTCGTGAATTCTTAAATTACGAATCCACACTTTCTCGTGTATATTCTCCTTAACAGAATTTCTTTCCTGTTAAAATGGTTAAAGGGTCCTTGTAATGAATTTTTCTTCGGAACACAATTTGTGCAACTTTCTACTCACAGATTTTAAATGTATAAAAACTGTTTGACATCCCGTTTCGGTTCATTTTATTAAAAAGTGCACTTCTTTAATATTTTCCATGCTTTTCCAGACAACTGAGAGCGCTGTTGCAGTGATGTCATTTCAGGAAGTCAGTTTAGGAGTTTTCTGTTCAAATTGTGAACCCAAAATGTGCTCATTGGACATGTTGGAAACATTTGTGAAAAAGAGTTTAGGCATTGGCTAACTGCCATGAACTGACACAACAAATCAGAAAAGAAAATTTACAACAGCAAAATAGCCAAAATTCTAGTAACCTTTTGCACTGAAATACCGGTAGCTGTAAAAACATTGAGGTTTCTGCCCGTATAATGACATCACAATTTTGCCTAAGAATACATGTATGGATAACAATTAAAGGGAAAATACAACATTTGCAAACATCAAAAAATAAAACTACCAAATCATTTTGAAATACCTTGCTGGACTGTTAGTGACTGACAGTGTAAAGCATCCTGTAAAATCATGGCACCTGGTATACTGTCATTTTCAAGAAAAGTGGTATTTTTGTATCAATTTCCAACGCTGATCGGCCGATCAGCGTTGGAAAAAACTGGCTTTTTTTTTCAAATACTGCCCCCAATTGACCATCGCACTTGTTTGCAATCGATTACAAACCTATGAACGGGTACGAGCCAGCTAGACTGGTTCCCTGACCTTACAATTCCCCAATGTATGTAAACTGCTCTGTTTCTTCTTATATGGAGTCAGGGAAGCAGACTACAGGAAAATGATTGTTTTTCTTGGTTTTTATAGCATTTTCGAACCCAAAACCTCAAAAAAGTCAGTGTAACTATATTTGCTATATATTTCCAACCCCCCAATTCCATCCATTTCTGAAAATTACAGTAAAAGCAAATGATGTATATTCCCTTTAACAGCCAGCACGTGTTTTCACATCCTTTGACGCAAACTGGTTAAAGTGAGGACAGAGCAAGCTATTAGGACTTGTTTTGTTTGTTTGTTTTTTTTTATCCACGAAAGTTTATTTTGGGGCCAGGTGGAGGTTGGAGATCACTGTACCGGTACATGTACATGTACACGTATGTATGTATAACACATAACTTTGTGCATGTTGTCTCTTGTTTTTTGTTGGGGGCAAACACGAACCAGATTTGAAGCAGTGCGTTGGCCTAGCGTGTGCTCATCATTCAGCACTCCCTTTTGTTTAACATGACAGCTCTGTGAATCCACGTGAACTAAGAAAATTTTGCAAAACTGCGAAACGTTACAGTCATCAGGGGACATGGGGGGACATGGGCAGCAGCTGCAGAAATGAATAACGAGATTATCACTTTTAAGTGCCTGTCAAAAATTTCCCCTATAATTTTAGCGCCGGCGTGCCTAACAATGATCAGCATAAAGTGTTTCAAGCTGTCCCCACCATAGAGCACAAGAAAGGAGAGTCAAATTTCTCTGTTCTGTTCTGCTCTGTGATCACTTAAGCTGCCTTTTTAATAGCAACCAGATAATGAAATATCCCGGTCAGGTTTTATTGAGGGTAAAATTAAACGGCTTTTGTTACGCTCGTGCGTGCACGTAATTAAAGTTTGATGTGTGCTGAGATGACAGTGGAGGTTTTTTTTTTAATATAGTTTTGATGATCGAGTCCATCTGCTCGGTATTGCAAGTATTCTTCCGTGGAGACTAAGTGAGCCTCCTGCAGTGCAATTTCAGAAACCTAATTTGTCAAGTTTTGTGTCACTACATGTTAATCTACAATGTTAACCCTAACCATCCCAAATCCTCCAAAATCCTTTTTGCAAATTGGAGGAATTTGCAGGATTGAGGTTACATGACAAAAGTGCATTGCTGATTTCGGAGGACGCACTGTGTCAAGGTCTCGGGCCGGACCTTGTGTTGTTTATGCTCAGCCTAGCATAAATTTAGTCCTTACTTGAAATCCTCCGCACTGCTCCAGGATGTCACTGCCTCTGCCTCAGCCTATTGGCAGTCATAGCTGGAGGATTTTGCAGGATTCAGGTAGTGGTCACCTCTCCACGGACCATATTCAAGAAATGGAGGAATTTGCAGGATTGAGGCTATTTTTCCATGAGGCCAATTGAATGATTTTGCAGGATTGAGGCTACATCCTAGCAAAAAGGCCTAGGGAGTTGGGTTAATACGTATTACATTTGTACATGTACATTTAACCCAATTTGCCTGTTACTGGTGTTTCTCCATTTAATACTGGGATGCCCCATACATGTACATACATATCCAAAGCTCACTTTGAAAGACTCCAGACTAAGCACCCACTGTGAGGTGTTCTCCTATTCTTGCAAAATGAATAAAAAAAAAAAAACCAGGGCAATGAGAGGCTGGTCGGAATAAGGGTTTATGGGGATATCAGGAAAGAGAATATAATTCTCCTTACAATACTGTTAACAAAAATGGCTGTTTATGGTTTGCATTTGCATGTCAATAAAGTAAAATACTGAAAAAAAAGGCCATTAAAGTTTCGAGTTTTGTCTTCGTGAAAATGAAAGATGCCAATTGTTTGTCCATAAATACTCTTTTATTCCACAAATTTTATGCTAGGCTAAAAATGTGTATGTACACATGTAGACAAATGAATGAGATATATTCACATGGTGCCACCGCAAAATTATCTAGTCTTAGTAAACATGTTACAAATGTATCAAAGATATGAATAAATCTGAAAATTGAAGAAAAAAGAGTCATCCCCACTCGAGTTTATTTTGCATTTTTCTACACTACGGCCTGTGCCCTTATGCAGTTCCGTCTCATTTTGCCAGAACGTCTCACAAATGTTAGTCACCGCTGCAGAGCGTTTTTTTTGGGCTTGAATTTAAGATTTTTATTTATTTGAACTCTGGCTTTATTGATGGGTTTTGGTAAACAAAAAAGTCACTGTATCAATGGCGAAACTGGATTGTTTACATGAATAAGTTTTTCATTTTCACAATGTGAGAAAGTTGTTCATGACACGCGTACATTTGTATACAAGTGGTTGTGGTGATATAACAAAGTACAATAATGTCATACATGTTATAACCTGTGTGAGTGTACCGGTACATGTACATGTATGTACATTTTTGTACACTGATGGATTGTGTGGTGAAACCCGCAACTTCCTTGTTATTTTTTGTTTGGATATTGCTGAATTAATGTGTAATTTGCGATGACAAGTGTTGTCATTAGGACATTTTTTTAATGTAAATTTTGCACAACAGATACATGTACGTGTAGGTATGCACGTGTGTATTTTGCATACATGTGCAAACAAAGGAAAATCTGCACGTAGTTGTTTAAAACTGCTGCAGGTCAGTTGTGAATTATGAATTCTATGTATAATATTGTTAGACTTTGGACTTCCTTTCCACTGTTTGTACATATCGGTATGTACCGGTATTAAAATGTACGGTATGGTACACCTGTTAGTTGTGTACCAGTCCTTAATTGTTTTAGTCGCCGTGTGCCTGTTTAAAAGTTACACAAAATTTAACAAACGTCTTGCTTTCTTTTCACAAATAATGTGTACATAAATTTAAACCATACATTTGTCAATCAAGTTTACATGTACACGTACAAAAAGTTGTTACATGTACTAGCAAAATGAATGTATACTTCATTCATGTTTTTTATGCAAAACATGTAATAAAATTGTAGCCTGAATCCTAAAGACAGTTATTTTGATTTTTTGTTCTTTGCAGTTTTCTGAGAGAAAGAGGGAGAGGTACTACTTTTAAATAAATAATCAGTCGGTGGCGGAAGGCAACAGATACTATACAGTATAAAGCCACAGTGAAATCCCACTTCTGACACCGAGTTCATCCCGCAACTGCCACCATGGTGTTCCTGAGGGTTCGACTGCACCGGGTGGACGATATAGACCTCCCAGACAAACAGGATGCCAGTGATTGTAATGTTGTGGTTCACATCAAAGAAAAAGTTACCAATGCACGTGAGTATCGACCGTTTGGTTGTACATGTGGTAATCCTTACTTTTAGGACCCCTTTCCTATATAAGGTTAAAAGACTCACCAAAACAGCTGACTAAATGACACTCAAAAGTGACATTCTGATATTTATTGACACATTTGAACATTTGGCAATGACACCTCTTGAATATCAGCAGGTTTGATTTTGTAGAAAGAGGGCAGGGTTTTGATTTATGAGGGGTTAAAGACGACGATGACAAACAGAAAATAAATTTAAAAAGCAAGATGGCGAACTGCAAAAAAAGGTAGGAAAGTCGCATTTTCTTTGAAAGTGCTTTCAAAATTATAACTAACATGAGTTTGTCTGAAGAAAAAAGACTTCTTTAGCCTGCAAAAGTCACTTTGGTACTGGACAGTCATCTGCAAAAGTCAGTTTTGAACAGAACTCGCACAAAATAGAGGTGTCCTAAAAGTAAGGATTACCGTACATGTATGTAAAATAGGGTTAATCATTGGCCACGAAGGGCAAGCTTCTGACTGATTTTTACATCACTGACTGACTGACTGAGTCTCTACTGGTACATGTGTCAATATTGTCCTTTTAAAACTGAAACTTTTATGTTCAGCTTGACAAGGAAGGTTTGGTTTTGTTGTAATTGTGCTTTACAAATATATGAGTGCTCATTACACTTTTTCGACTTTTTTTTCTGGGATTTTGGTACATGCACTGTACGTACAGTCACAGTAACCAAAATTATGTTAGTCTTTTTGTTTGATTACAGTCGAGTCTCGTTATAACAAACTCGTTCGGACCGAGCCAAATTGTTTGTTACATCAGAATTGTGTATTAAGAGGAACATCAGTCCCATTCATTGTGCATATAAATGCACAGTTGGGACCCAGGCTTTATGTTTGTTATTTAATAACCAGAATTTTGAATTAACAGCGTTTGTACTAACGAGAGTCGACTGTACATATTTATATTCTTTTCTGTTTAAAAGAGATTTTAAAACATTTCCGTAATGTGCATCTTAAATCATTGAAATGCCTGTGGTGCAGAAGTCAAATTGACATTATAGAAATTCAAAGAAAAAGATTACCACTTTTACCTAAACTATAAATACATGACTACTTGTATTACAAAATGTAACTCAAATTCTGTCCATTGGGCAGCCAAAAAAAAGGGGAGGGGGGTTTAAATCATCCAATAACATCTGTTTAGTGAACTCAGTGCAATGAAATACCGGTACGTACATTTGTGTCCCATTTCTTAAGTTGACAAATTCTGTGTGTCACATGCCCGGTCATGCCGGTTGCAGGGAACCCAAATATATCGGAATCTAATCAAAACATTAGTGGGCCGGCGTGATTGAATTTACTTATTACGCCTTCAGGACGGACTGTAATTTCAAGCACTCAAGAGAGCCGCTTCTGCAAGATGTACATGTACATGTACATGTACATGTATAACATGTGTGTGTACCGGTACATGTACGACATTGTACATTTCACAGAAAGAATATACATGTACATGTATTTTGGGAGCATTGAGAGGCCAGATGTGCATACTGTCCATTGTCTTCAATGTCAAAAGACAGAATTTTGACGAGTGTCTCGTACAAATGGAATTGAAAATCGGTCTCAGCTAAATGTCTACTGGATTGCCTTAGTCGAGATCTGCAATTTGAAATACATTTATATGGATACCAATTGCAGCTGCCCTGTCGCCACTGGTCTTAGTGGGTTCCCTTTGAAATGTTAAATTGGGTGCCATTTCAGTAATTACATGTATACATGTAGGCCGTACATGTACATGTAGTGGGGCAGATAGGGAAAATATTTGGGGCAATTGTGCCTTTGATGATACAAGCATGGAATTTTGCACACAGTCTGTATGTCATGTACATGTATGTCATGAGAGATATTTGGCTATAGGGCCATCGCAGTTTTGTCCTTTGAAAAAAATAGTAGAATAACTTGAATAGCAAGCAATTTTCAAAATTTACAAAATGGCTGTCATTGAAAATATCTTTCTCATGACATACTCTGACTACATCAGGCATGAAACTTTTCCTCGGATCAGCTGATTTCCTCTTTTTTTTACTTCCCATGTGTGCCATTGAAAATAGAAAAACACTGTACAAAGTCTGGGAAAAATTTGAATTTCCTCTTTTTTTGTGATTTCCCAGTTGCATGCCTGCTACATGTACATGTAAGTACCAAATTCCAGCTTGTATCATCAAAGGCACAATCCCATCACCTACATGTATCAGCCGTACTAACAGTGTACGTGTATACGTAGCAAGGAGAACTCTTGTACACATCAGTTGTACGGCTGTCCTGAATATCAGAAATTCAAATATTCTATCGTCAATTGGATATTTGAATACTTTTTGCCGGTTTGAATATTCGAAATGAAAAACTTTCGAAAAACAGGTTGATCAATCTCAGGACTGATGCAGGGTTTTGCGCAGGGTAATATGTTCAAATGTGAAATGCTGCATGCTTTCAACCATGCGCCAACCCCGTGTCAACCTGAGATTTGTCTAGTGCAAAATGGCCTGGACAAAAAAGTCAAATGGCATAATTTTTTCAAATACGTGAAGCACTTGCTGTGTATTTTTCGCTTGGGTTTTGTCACTGTTATTAAAAAGTGGCCCATTTATATACATTGTATTCTTTGTTTTTCTTTTTTAAAATTGGAAATACAGTGTACCGTACTGGGGTACGAAAAGCAAGATGTACCGGTACCGATATGTGTAACTTTAATTTGGATGCAAAAATGGAAATCAAGGTCCGTTAGAAAAATTTGGCAAATAATTTGTAACGAAAGCTGCCACTGACGAATAATGAATATGAAATTAATGACACACAAACTTCCTTCTGAAAGATAAATGAGACTTTATTAAGAACTGCAGATGGATGTCGGACACTGTTATTACAAATGGTGTCATTTCTGCGTATTAATCATCAGCTCCATGTATGTGAAAAGGCCCCTGCTTGTGTTGCTGCTCGTTTGCCCTCACGCACACATGACGGGCCCGGCGTCAGTGCAAATATGAAGCGCGTTGCGGCTGCTTCGTCGTTCGGCCCCGTTTGATCTACCCATGCTGTGCAAACACAATTCCCCAAACTTTGAAGCGGCGGTTAAATTTTTCAGACGGCTCGGGAGAGGCAAGCATTTCTGGGAACGGGAGACAGCGCCGTCCGAAACGGCTCAGTGGCCCCTCGTGCACACACTGCGTAATTGAATTGGAAACAGAGAACCACTAACTGGCATCTGAGGGAGAACCAAACGAGTGTAAAATTAAGTTATTGAAATGGCCCTGTGCAGACCGTTCTGCGAGAGGGGAGGGGCCAGCTAGGGAGTCTTACGACTGATGAGCAACCCAAAAAACCAGTGTATAAATATAACTTGACTTTTGCTCAGGCCTGACAGACACAGGTGTCTGTAGATACCGGTATGGCAGAGGCCATTAACTGTAGGAAGTGAAATTGTATCATTGCCGGAAGTTAGGGGGGCCTACTGTTTTGTGCTAAAACATTTGAGAGTTTGTACAACTGCAGCTACTGGAGCACATGTACACGTACAGTGAAGCTTTTTTTTTCGCAAGTGAAAAATCATGGATCACCATCGGTACAATAATGTACATGAACATGTAGTGTATTTTGTTTCACCATTAAAAGTCCAAAATGGAAGAGACGGTATTTCAGGCAGATTAATTGGCTGATTGCCTATGGGCCCCCTTGAGATTTGGGAGCATTTGTTGCAGAACCGCCCTTGTTGACCCCTTTGAAATGCTGGTGTGCACACCCCTCCCCCCCCCCCCCCAGGTCTCGCCCACTGATAAACCGCTGTTGCTGCATGTTAAGCGCATGCATGGCATGCGGCTGTAGGGTGCAGACAATTCGACTCCCATGGACCTCAGTAATAATTGGTACGTGTACAGGTACACTGTACGTGTACATTACACTGTATTTAAAAATGCTCACAATGTTTGACTTTGAGACGCCCATAAAATTACAGCTTATTTCATCATCTTTCAATTTCTGTTCAATTTCCGAGTGGTAACCTGATGACTTTTGGGGGAAAATTCCATCCATAGATAATCACCACCAAAAGTAGTTCTTTGGCCCATCGCCATTTTGAAAATGATCCCTGTGCTCCATTGCCAAATACATGTAGAGCCATTTTTTAGGGCCCAATTTCATCTGAAATTCACCAAAATATGAGCTCGCACTCCTGTGCATGGCTTCCACCCATCTTTTTTTCTTTATTCAAACCTTCCAGTTCATGGTCCACAAAATGCTCTAATAGCAAAGAAATTGAGGGAAAACAAATCGTGATTTGGCCCGCGTGGGCAATTCGGGTCTAATTTGCAGGTCTGCAGCAAAATGCATGCCGATTTCCTTCCTCCCTGGCTGTACAAACACCTCAGCCCATTCGATGATTTTCACCTTTGGTGAAAGTCTGGCTGAGTTTGTCTCTCAGATATTGATTCCCTTGCCAGCATTGGCATGCCCAATTAGGCCTCAGTCATCCCTGCAAATTGGGTTTCCTGAATGTGTTGTCTCAAAAAAGGGGGCCTGAAGGGGAAAAGTATTCATTGATTGCCACAAGGTATACAGTGGATTCTGCTTTTTTAGGCCACATGTTTTTGTACGTATGTACCGGTACTGGACGGGTAAAATTAAACTGGGAGTTCAGCGTAAAAGCTCGACAGTTGAGTTTGTTTCAGGGGTTTTTTTGGTCAACAACCAATCACATGTCAACTGGCACATTGTCTTGTTTTCCCTATGAACTTGAAAAGTTATACAATGTAGTGTAGGACGTTTACTTCACAGTTTTTTTCCCGACCCCCTGTCAACTGAAAATTGCATTTGGAATAAATACATGCCCCCAAGACAATGATGCATACATGTATACTTGCAAAATGTAGCCCTTTCAAACTTTTAAAAATTGCAATGTTGAACCTTTATTTGGGTGAACCCTGAGATGTTGGCAACTGTCATAAAAATGACTGTCCCTCAGGACCAGCCAAATTCACAACTTCTTGCGACTGTTCTTAGGACTTGAGACTTGTTTGTGTCGACAGTGGTTCATTGTTCCCATCCTTTTAGCAGGTTAAAGCCAATGACAGATATTTAACTGCAAAACATTCCTGGGTCCCATAACATTGATCACCCCATGCATGCAAAGGTTTTAACAGATGTGCTTTGTATGAAACTTTCTGCATTCTGACATTACATGGCCCTGGATCATAGCATAAGGAAACTGAAGAGAGGAAAAGGAAAGGACGGAATTCGGAAATGGCATGCAAATACAATGTACCTGTATGTGTTCAGATGTACAGTATGTACATGTACATTTGTACATTTTTCACGTACATGTAGTTACATGTATACATTATACACATTGTACATGTACTTGGTATGTGTACAGGTGTACCTGTAAAAAAAATTAAGTAAATTGTGCTTTTATTATTAAACAAAGAAACACAAAATGTACAATGTTGAAAAGACTAAACTGAGTTCGTTAATTTCAGAATAATGAAGCTACATGTAAACTGTTATTTGAGGATTTAACCACATTGTTGTGTATGATAAAGGTAACAACTGATACAAAATATAATTGATTGAATAGGCAAATATGTGCACGTACATGTAGGTGCATAGTTCAGAATGATAAACCCAACTAGGCAATCATAGTCTTATTTGCCTAATTTGTAGGGCTGTTCCAAATATACTGAAGATCCAAATATTTGATCATCAATATTCGATCATCAGTATTCAAAAAGCTTTGTGCCAGTTAGAATATTCGAAAACAAACAAACTGAGCATACAGTAAATGTTGTGCAAACCGGATCAGAAACCAAAGTGAAATTGACTTTGCGTCGGTTTGTCCATCATTTAAGTCATTTCAGGTCTGTTTCAATGTTGCATTTGCGAAGGTCTGTTAAGCCATATTAGAAAAACCTGAAATAAGTTGAACCAAAGAAAAATTAACACTTCGGAAAAGTCACATGGTGCAGTATTAATCGCAGATTGACTGTACCCGGTACGACCAACTTTGGTTCGCAGTCTATCACGCACACATGGTGCACACGCGACTGTAATGTTATTTTATCGTAAACTTTGGCACTTTACTCTCAGGTACATGTACTGCTTTTTTGTCAACAGCAACTTTTTTGTTGATGGCCGTTCCCATTCTTTTAGCAGGTTAATGCCTTTCGCAGTTATAAAATACTTACATTGTACTGTAACATGCTCCAGTAGCTTATTGATCGCAGCATGCAATTTTTTTACGGGCGCACTCTGCAAGCACCTTTTGACCGACGTGGGGCGTAAATGCAGGTGGCAGTTTGAATATCCAAATATACGGTCAATGCAATTTCAAGTAATCAAATACTTATTTGATAATGGACAGCCCAAATAATTTGTGGCATATATACATGTATATTCTTTTTGTGTTAAATTATCAATTTCAGAAGGGGGCAGCAATCTGATGATTACGCGCAAGCTGACCCCGCTCTGGGGCAAGTGTTTCGACTCCCATCTGTACGAGGGCCGCATCATTCACATCATCATCCAGAACAACAGCAAAATGGTGGCAGACACGGAGATGAAAGTCATGGACATGGCCGCTATGTGTGGCACCAATGGCGATGTTCTGACCACCAACGTAAGTCCCGAGCAGTGTTATTGTCGAGTCCATCACGAGTCCATCACAAGTATTTCATCTTTAGCCTAAATTTATGCACGGCTGAGCATATCAAAACAAGGTCTGGCCCAAGACCGTGCATCCTCCAAAATCGGCCGCACCTTATATGCAAAAATGTGCCACAATTCTTCAAAATCCTCCATTTTGCAAAGAGGATTTTGTAGGATTTGGGAAGGTTATAAGGTTAATGCTGCATGCAAATAATAACTGACTTCCAATTATACCTTCTTTGTCTAAACTTACCTCCACCTCCAACTCATCTCAGTGAATGTGTACCTTTGTCATTCTCAATTTCCTCATGTTCCCCAGAGTCTGTTCCTTCAGTCCTTGCCCTTTTGGCCAAGCTTCTACTCATCACATCAATCACGTCTCCCATCCCCCCCCCCCTCCTCCTCACAGATGCCCCATTCAACCTCCTTCAGACCCAGATGCCATCTTCCTGTCCCAATCAATCTCTCTCCAGTCAACTCGTTCCCCTTGGTCTATACTCCCGTCTCAACGGCTCGTTTCATCCACTTTGATCCTCCAGGATTTATTTTTCAATACCCTGTAGACCGGAGCTGCATTCGTTGTCTGAGGTCTGAGCAGCCCATTCAGCTGAGTTGTGTCAAAACCAGAATTTATTATTAAACGTGCGGTATATAAACACGAATAATTTGCTATGTTTGTCTCAAGGAGGTCTAAATCCAAATCACCTTTGCAGGTGTTCAAAGATGCATGTACTTTACATATCAATCTTTTTTTGTCTGATCTATCAACACCGAATACAGTATTTTGCAAATTTGGAGATTTTTTTTTGGTGGTGGGGGTGGGGGGTGGGGGAACAGAGACATTCATGTTGTTTGAGTTTTTGCAGGGTCAAAACGTTATACTACATTTGTGACCTACTGTGGCAAAATGAGGAATGTCCCCCAAAACCATGTTTTGAGTAATCACCGCCTAAAGTTGGAAACACTAGAAAATTTATGTCAAAATCAATATTATTTTTTTTTCTTATTTTTGAGTAGCCAAGGTATCCAAGATTCACACTATGCATTTTTTGTTGGAAAAAAAATATCCCCAAAAGTTGGAAACTGAAGAACGTTTTCCACTGTCGTTAAGGCGGCACAATACGTATTTCTTTTTTTTTCAAAGCCATTTTTCTCGAAATGAAGTTGGCGAAGTTTAGCAGGACACTGTTAAAGTTTCTGCGTCATATCTTTGGAATAAATAAAGCTACATAAATAAATTTGGTATCATTGGAAAGCCAATGGGCAATTCCACAGTAACGGAAGGACGTTTTCACTCATTAAACAAAATTTCAAATGTGTGTATCACAGACACTGTTAATAGTTACAGCAAACAAATGTCACAATTGTATTGCTATAATGCTACTTTCATTTTCCACACTTTTGGGGGGCATGAATGCCTCCCGTTTTTGAATTATGAATATTAATGAGGTCGGTAACGGAAGGACGGTAAAACGGACAAGGGTTTTCCAACTTACTCGCGTTTTGCGTAAACTCTGTGAATTTTATGGGGCAATTATATTTCAAAGGTAGGAAATGGAATCCCTGGAGCTTTATCTATACTATCCCGCCTTTCATTTGACTTTAAGTGTTTCGGTAATATAATGACAACGTTTTAAGCAGATTATAATTTGGTAACGGAAGGACGGTAACGGAAGGACAAAAGGTTTACTCAATTATAGCATGAACAAAATGTGAATTTACACTAATTATACAAGTGAAACAAATTGCTGAAATGTGTAACTGAATGTGAAATCAACAATATGCAGACCTGGCATAAATAATTATACCCAAGAAACTATTGAGATACAGATAGAAGCCTGCTAATTAATGATAACAAAAGAAAAACGAAAACAACCCAAAACACATCATTCACGAACACAGGACTACTACAGAAATAGACTTCAAACCCATCACCTCAATCCTTAAAAGTTTAAATACACAGTATTTGAACTCTTGAGTATATTGGTTACATGTTCACCAACAACTTTTAATAATAATACCGGTAGGTTCAGTGGTTTACCTAAAGGGTGGGGGGGGGGGGGGGGGGGGGGCGACCAGCCTACATGTACATTTAAGGTAAAAACATCTACCGGTAAAACTGATGGCTTCAGTTACATGTAGGTGTTGCTTTTTATTGAACTCTAAAATCAATGTTTGAAATCAAATTACAATGATTTAGAGTAGTAACAATTAATTTATAAACATCCAAACTGAAATTGTTAACTTGGGCATAATTTGTCAAAGATTGCACCTCACATGTCTTACACATGTAATTTGAATGAAAGTGCCCCAAAGTACCGGTACTTTCTGCCATCTCATTTTTGACTTAATTTGCTTCTGGAATGGCTTCACAGAATTCGTATCTTTCTCTATTGTCCATGAATGCTGATGGCAGCAACTTTATGATTTGATTTTCTGCAACAACTCCATACATGTACAAGTACTGGTACATCGGCATATATATGTACATGTACATTGTACATGTTGTACATGCCTGTGCCTTCCTTTGTAATAAACACCTTGCCCTGCTTATCCCGCTTTTGTGAAGGTGGGTCACATGAATGTCCTTTCAATGCTCATTATACATGCATGTATTTGCAGTGATTTTCATTTTTCAAACATGAGCGCAAATGTCGTAACATTTGATAAAAATACGATTTGTCCTTCCGTTACCGTCCTTCCGTTACCAATTTGGTAACGGAAGGATGTGATTTAATTAATTGTAATAAAAAAACGAGAAGTACAGCAGTGTCAGTTATAATGTCATATTGAAGGCCAACCTAAACTTGCTTTGCACAATAACTTTCAATGCATTCATACTGCAAGTTTTAAAAATAAATTAAAAATATGTATTTTTTCGGTAACGGAAGGACATTTTCGAAGGCTGAAATATTAGAAGTCACTGAAGCGAAACAAATTACGCAAAATGTTAAAAACAAATTTTAGTCGTTTTTTCAAGACCAATACTTTCTCATGACAGAAACTGATGGCATTAGTACATATTTTTGTGTGTGTATTGGTAGAATACTTTCATATCACTTTTAATCACATTTTAAGGATTAAAACAGGATTATTACATAATCCTATTTTTTGGTACCGAAATGTATAAAAAATAAAATTCCGACTTCAAATCTTGAAAATATAGACTTTTAGCTTTCATTTGATGCCAAATTTGTTTAAGTCACATGTATTTGAATTTTTTGGTGTCATGTCCACTTTGGTGTGGAATTGCCCCAATTATAAAACGCTTTGACATGACCGTACATACATGTAACTTGAAAAGTCAAAGGTGGGTGCTATTCCTCATTATAATATGGCAGGTCACATTTGTCATACATAGGGTGAGTCAGTGTGATCTGGACACAAATTAAAGAAAATATTTAAAATATGAAGCAATTATCAAAACAAGTGCAAATGAGATGTTTTTGGGGGGGGCTGGTATTTTGGACATAATTCTAATGAGCAAAGAAAACACGCTAACAAACACTCTGACCATGGCTCCATTGATTCAACAAAGTAGTTGAAATCGCGTAGTGATATGAAGCAGTGTTCATGGTGGCTGTACTTATTTGAAATTATTGACACATACCGGTACATGTAAAAAAGGCAAAACCAATTCCGTGTGCAGACTGGAAAATAAGCCACTTCAATGAAATGGCATAACTCCTCACCACAGCCACTAATTTGAAAAATTCAAGGTTCTGATGGAAGACAAGGTAATAACCATTCATGTATGAGATACTCAAATTGTAGTTATTCTCTATTTGCCACCAACAAATATGGTGATCATTCTGACTCACCCTGTATAATTTGTCAAACATACAATTTACGTTGTTCGCATCACATGCATGGAAATCATATGGCTTTTTTACGTTTTGGATGAACATGGTGCCATTTTCATGTCTGCAAAATTTCAACAACGAGCTTTTTCCCTTTAAACCTTTCCAAATTTGTCAATATCCAAAACTGCATCCAACCATTTTCACATAAAAGCAGAAACAAAATTTATGCGTGCATACATGCAGAAGACGTCAATGCATATAAGAAATTTATATCTGATTCAATCAAGAGCGAGGCATTTTTTTTTTTAAATTCAAAACCTATTGGAGTTGGCAATCTGAACAAGCAAAGGCCATGCAGCGCACTACAACAGGTGCGAGTGGAAAGGAAGATTTTCAGAAGAAGGAAAAAAATGCAGGGGGAACTAAAATGTAAATACCCAAAAGGAGGAAAACAAATGAAGCATACTGGGCGACACGGTCAGAAACAATATCCCTGAGAGCCGTGGGCTGCAGATACGATAACTGGGTGAAAGATGAAATCTGACAAGCGGAGAACATACACACTGGGCTGGCTGAAATCTGCATGTCCGCCCACGCACAAAAACAGTGTGGGAGATATTGCTTCAGAGTTTCAGGGATATATTCGCTCCGCATCCAGCATGTCCAGGGTTGTAGATATTATGACACATCAGGCAAAATCTCCACCTGGGGACGGATCGAAGAATGTAATTCAGAACCTCAACAACATTTCAAAAATATGTTGTCTGTTTTGGAATATTGCCCATGCTATCAGGCTATAGCCATTTGGGTCAGTCTATAAATTTGGGGTCCAAAGTGTGACATTTTTCCCGTCCCTGTTACCTTGGTACTTTGTAATTTGCCATTCAAGCATCATTAAAAGTGACTTCAAATGATTGTTTATTTGTTGGGTAGGTAGTTTTGCTATTCATAATCACTCTTGGAGGATGACTGCATTAAGGAGTGCATCAGAATTATACAATCATAGATGTCAGATGTAACAGGGACGGGAAAAAAAGTGGACCCCAAATTTATAGAATGACCCATTTACGAAAAGTAATATTTTGCAGATTTTGGGCACGTACGTGGCAGATGCCACACAATACTTCCAGTGTATTAATGTACATTGTATACTTGACACATTCCCCTTCTTGTGATGGAATTTGATGGATGAAGATTGTTCAAGCCCTATTGCTACAAACATGTGTAGTACAGTACATGTACAATGTACCGGTACATTGTTCGTATTCAGTTGGATTCAGAGGGAATGTCTTACAATGGGAAGGCAGCTACAACATGTGTACATTCTGGACCAAATAGAAATGTACCTGCGTCAGAGATTCTACTACATGTACATGTACATGTACATTACATGTACCGGTACATGTACATGCCTATGTCGATTTAACCTTTTCACATCAGCACAAATTGGATACAATATCGCAATCATTACAAATGAATTACAGTTAAAGCATCTTTAACCCTCCTATGCAAACATACATTCTGTGCCAAGTTGTCCTCTCTGTCACAATCAATCAAGTGACTGTTTTCACTGTTTTCAACAGTTACATGTACATGTAAGAGCTCCCAGCCATACTGGTACATGTATACATGTATACCAATAAGATTGACTACCGTAGCTGTGACAGTAATGCACATTTGTGTATGGGCCTGTAGCTTATACCGTAGCTTTGGTGATTGATAATAAGACAGCTGTGCCCACAGTTTCCTGCTTTTGTCTGTTGACTGGATTTGACAAGTCAGAGTGCAAACTTCAGATATGATCTGATTGTTTGTGATTAGCCTGTGTAAAAGGCATAGCAGGGGAAGTGGATGGAACGTTTGACTGTCAGTAATTGTTAAACAGTAGGAGGGTTAAGATTGGTTTTGAAATGATACAATGTATATTTTTCCCTTTTTATTTACAGTTGACTTTGAAACCTACAGGCATCCTTCATGCACAGCTCAAGTGCTTCTCAGAGTCGCAAGGTAATAAGGCCAGGGTATTGTTTGTAATTTTTCCCTTTTATTCTTCATTAATATTGGAAAAAAATATACCAAACTGAATGAAAACATGGCAGGCTGTACCTTTAGGAAGATACAACATTTGCAAACATCAAAAGACGAAATGATCAAATTATCACGAAATATCTTACTGGATTGTTAGGGAATGACAGTCTAAATCATCCTGTAAAGTTGTGGCTCCTGGTGTGCTGACATTTTCTAGAAAAACTGTATTTTTCCAACGCTGGTCGTCCGACCAGCGTTGGAGAAAACTTGCTTTTTTTTCTCCAAAAGTGCTCCTACATTGTATTTTTTCATATTTAGTTCGTCTGCATTTTCTTTGCAATTGATTACACACCTGTGAAGACTACAAGCCTGCTAGACTGATTCTCTGATTTTACAATTCCCCAAAGGCTATAAAGGGCTCCGTTTTATCTTAAGTAGGGTCAGGGAAACTATACAGGAATACGATTTTTTTTTTGGTTTTTCTAGCATCTACGAACCCAAAACGTGCAACAAGTCAGTATAACAATACATTTGCTATAACATACTAATCCTCCAAATCTATATATTTCTGAAAATTGCAGCAAAAGCAAATGTTGTACATTCCCTTTAAAGTGGTTAGCATTTTTCATAGTGGAAATAAATTCTTAATTATTGAATTGGTTTGACAAGAAAACCTCAAACGCATGAAGTCATGACATGAAGCATGAACAGTTTCTTACATGAATGATGAATTGCCTACACATCTGCACGTGAATCATTTCATACAGATGTATGCACATTGTGGACGTGGCGGGTAGGAAAAGGTCTTCAGACTCTTAAACTCCCGTAATTCTTGCAGGATCTTTTCTCAGGTTGTCCAATAAAAACAGAAATAGACTTAGAAACAAAAAGTAGGCAAATCCCTGCCCACGAAGCTGAAGTGGTCAGGTAGGGGGAAAAAATGCCGCTAAGAGGATTGCGGTTGATTATAAAAAAAAAAAAGCCGAGCTGCTTTCTTAGGAAGTGTGTGTAACGTGATCCTGTAATCGCGAGACTATTGAGGAGACAGGTGGTGTCCGCAGGCCGGGTCTGCGGCCGAGTGTTTACACTGACAAGCATAGAGAGAGTGCCTAGATAGAAGTGCGCTAGGGTATTCATTTGCAGACCCGCTTTTTATATGACACGTCTGCGCATTGGGACCAAAATCAATATTTTGACTTTTTTTTTTTCTCCTCCCGTTGTGAAGTAGTTTTTAGTAGGTTTGTATGTGTGTTTGTGTGCCCCATGCAGACATTGCTACTGTTTGGAATGGGAAAAATTACTGGGGACTGTGAAGAAAATTTATTTCCTTAGCCAGCTGTTAGCAGAGAATAGGGACTTTCAGTAATAATGTACAATGTAGGTAGGGTACCGGATATACATACGGTACATACATGTGTGGGACTTGGAAAACAAGCTGGTTATATTGATATCATTTTGTGTGGTTACATTCGAACCCATGTACCGGTACATGTAGTACAGGTACATTTAGCAATTGTTGACTGCTGTGATGTGGGATGAATGTATGCCATTTTTAACATCCGAGGGGCTGTTCAGGGTATTAATGTTTCTATAGGAGATAACTTAATTTGAAACATCAGCAAACAGAATAAATGAAAGCACATCAGACGAATAGTAAAGTCATTAATATCAATGCAGAACAGTAACAGACCTAAAATTGACCCCTGAGGCACACCACAACACATGTCGAGTTAGACCCACCAATAGAAACATATTGGCTTCTATCAGAAACATACAATAACTTCTGAACCACTCTAGAAAAACTCCATGAATGCCATAATGAGATTTCAATTCTGTCAAAGGTTTTTGAAAGGTCAAGAAATATTCCTAGAGTGTGTTCAGAAATATGTTTAGCAATAGAAACTTTTTCAATAAAATCAAAAATTGTGTAAATAGTTGAATCCGAACAGAAACCAATCTGAACTCCCCAAATTCCACCCGACCCGACCGACACAAATTCAACCAAAACCGACCCGAAATAACCCAAAATTAAACCGACCCCCCCAAAAAATGAATATCTGGCTTAGGCAACTGTTCCGCTTTTTGTGCCTGAACTTACCCACATCACGTGAAAATCGTCATCTCTTAGTTACAGAATCATACCGTACGGTGTACGGTCAAGACTCATAACGTGACCTACCGGTACTGGTACATGTACTGGTGGGCCTACCGGAACACGTTATAGACTGTGTGAAGACCGTAAACCACATGCACACTCTCGCGCTGGGTTGACGTTGGTCGTACCGGGCACAGTATCTCTGCAATAATATTGCACCGCATGTTGTTTCGGGTTTTTCACAAGATGGCTTAACCGACCCAACCCGACCCGAAAATCGCAAACGCACCCGAACCGACCCGACTGAAATGATGGATAATACGACCCGACCTGAAATCAGTGTCGGTTTTGGGTCGGGTTATGCACAACATTAACGCACACCAGTTCGGGCACGTTTTGTTTGAAGTACACATATACACATGACTAATTGTTTCTCTGAATGAGCACAAACCTGTTGTGTGTTCGCTTGAGCATCAGCACTGCGTTCATGAGACCCTCCTAGAGCTCTTCCCAACTTTCTCTTTGTAAAGTTGAGCATGTTGAAGGATGATCATGATGATACCTGTGCATTGGGCATTGAGGACTTGAATTAACATTGGTCACAATAATGAAATCTGCCTACATTGTAGCCCACAGGTTCCATTAACCATTTTTTTTTTTACTGTTTTACTCATTTTGTCATTGATCCCCCTGTGTCTTAATCGTAACCCAGACGACCCCAACCAGGCCAGCATGATCAAGCCGGCCCCAGTCCTGGAGCTAGACGACAACGACAAGACAGGTTCTGGCGCCCTCACGAGGCGACGTGGTGCCATGCGGCAGGCTAAAGTCCACGAGCACCTGGGCCACAAGTTCCTAGCGCACTACTTCCGCACCCCAACCTACTGCTCCTTCTGTAATGAGTTCATATGGTGAGTTAAATCTGTAGGGTCCCCAGAAGAAAAAAACTGAGAAAAAGGACAAAAAAGTGTGTTAGCAATGTACTTTCCATGTTTCTTTTTTAAACACTCTCAAAAGTATTGAATAGTCACATACATTGTAGGTCATAAATATTACTAAGATTAATATTACAAAAGAGATTCGTCACATAATGCTACCATAAACCTTTATCTTATTGCTATCTTTCTCGTCTTCAACCGCTTCAAAACAGATGTGCTAGGCTCATTTTCCAGATGCCCATTTACACACATACAGTATACATGTATCTCCCCTTCTTAACCAGTTACACTGGCTTCCAGTTGCACAACGCATTCAATTCTGTACTATGGTCCACACTTACAAATCTCTCAACTCCTCTGCCCCTGATTACCTCTCTTCTCTTCTCTCAATTCGAACCGGGTCTCACTCCCTTCGCTCTTCTCATGGGCAATCTCTTGTTGTCCAGAAAACAAATACACTCGCAGGTGATCGGGCCTTCTCTATTGCTGCTCCCCGATTGTGGAATAGTCTACCCATCCCTATCAGAAACTCTGATACTGTGCCAACCTTCAAGAAGGCTCTCAAAACCCATTTTTTTTTTCCCCCACCATAGCTGGTTGTACGCCCTTGTTGTTTTTCTGTTGTTCTTTCTGTAGTTCTTCTTTCTTTGTTTCAGCGCCTTGTATCCTTTGGCAATTTGGCGCTCTATAAATCCAGTTATTATTATTATTATTATCTTTACCTTCAAATCTTACATAAATATTAGATTGAATTTCTTTTTTGTTGTGTAAAATTTCCGCTAGTTCATGTTAGAACAGTGTACGTGAATGCATACAAATTTGATGCAATGTCGACATAATCTTTGCCACATGCTGAGATGCGCTGGTTTATTTTGTCGTAATGCCAAGTACATATTGTTCATATTGGCACAGCCATCAAATTTGAAGAGATGTCATGTGATAAAACAAACATACATTGGACATGTTGCAGTGATACCAGATGAAACCAAACGCCAATAAATTTACACTTGGCAAAATGCTATCACGGTATGTGACCAGCATTTGAAAATTTCTCACAGTATCTGCCTTTACTAATTGAACAAATTTTGTGTTTTCTTTATACACAGGGGTGTGATGGGGAAACAGGGCTACAAATGCAAAGGTAAACACCATCCAGATACGCTCGAGAGTCTGAACACATTTTTTTTTAGTGTCTTGATTGAAGAAAATAATTGTTACTTTTCTTGATATAATTTTTGTATTTGTTAAAATAGTTCTCATTTAAAGGCAATGTACATCATTGGCTTTTGCTGTAATTTTCAGAAATGAACTATTTTGAGGGGTTTATATAACAGATCAAATATTGTTACCCTGACATGTTTAAAGTTTTGTGTTCAAAAATACTGGAAAACCAAGAAAAACAAATATGTTCAAGTAGTCTGGTTCCCTGACTCCACTAAAGATGAAATGGATCAATTTATAGATGCCGGAAAATTGTAAGGTAATGGAACCAGTCTAACTGGCCTGCACCCGTTCATGAACATGTAACCAATAGCAAACAAAATTTGGACTGAAAACAAAATTGGTAAATTTGGAGCAGTAGTTGAAAAATAGTTAGGTTTTTCGGCCGACCACTGTTGGCAATTTATACAAAATACCACTTTTCTTGAAAATGACCTGAACAACATTTTTTTCTTGTTTTTTTTTATCATCTGTAAATTTTTTTTTTAAAACAGGTCGGTGTAATAATATTTGCTATGAAATGCTAACCCCAAATCCATCCATTTCTGAAAATTGCATAAAAAAATGTTTATATTCTTTTAAATATGAGGCAGTTAATCACCAGGCAATGACATAAATTGCTAAAATAAATAATTACTGTAATTGTTTGTTACATGTAAAAGTCCTACATGCACATTACAAAGACTTTACCGGTAAAAGTGTTTTATTTTCTTTAAAAAGCTCAATCCAGTGATAATCACAGTAAAATCTTGAATTTTGATCAGAAGAAGAACTTATTCCTTATTTTGATAGAACACCTCTTATTTTTTTCTCTTTCCTTTTTTTTCCAGAATGTCAGTTGGCAGTGCATAAACGTTGCTACAACCGAGTCTTGGGCAAGTGTCCTGGTGCTGGCACTGAAACAATGGATACAAAGGTGAGACTTGCAGGTTTTAAAGATTTTTTTTGGGGGGGGGGGGGAATTCCCCACTTTCACCTTAAGTCAAGGGCCCATGCAATGTCCTTTTTTTTTAATACCATCCTTGAAAATGCATCTTTGTGTCTCATTTTACCTTGTTTTCAATCCAGTTTTGCCATTTTGAAGGGTGTTTTGATGGCTTTTTAGTTTTTATGCTAATGAAAATTTCCATATTCATGAGCAAAACTGTGATGTCATTCCGAGCAGAAACCTCAATGTTACAGCTATGTCAGCACAAAAGTTGCTGGAATTTTGAATGTTTTACTGCCGTGAATTTTCTTTTCTTGGTGATTCGATGTTGTGTTTAGCCAATGATGTCTTTAATTACAGGTGTTTCAATCACAGATGTTTTCAATGAGCCAATTTTGGATTCACAATTTGAACAGAAAACCCCTAAACTGAACAGTGTCTTCCTGAAAAGACATCACTGCAACAGCACTCTCAGTTGTCTGAAAAAGCATAGGAAATATTCAATGTTCAAAGAAGTGTACTTTTCAGATAAAATTAACGATAAATGAATACCGTAGTTTTCATACATTTACCCCGGTATAGGAGTTGAAAGTTGCACAAAATGTGTTCCTCAGAAAAATTCATCGCATTGGCCCTTCTAAGCGGCGGCAGAATTTTCTGATGAAATGTGGATAGATAAAATACTCCTTGGATCACACTACATGAAACTTGCTTCACCCTGCCCTCTCTTTGAACTGTCAATATCTGTAGACTGTCATTTTAGTAAGGAATGTCATGCATGACTTGGCCCGTAAAATCCTCTGTCAAATTGTCAATACTGTCTACAGTTTTACAACAAACGAAAGCCCCCCCCCCCCCAAAAAAAAAACAGAGTAAAATTAGCACATGTACATGGCTTCCTCAACATTGACTGGAGTACATGTACATGTACCTCATATACTGTGCATAGCATTGAGGTATCGAGTACATTATGTACAATATAAAAAGCATTTACATGGATGAAATGCAAAGTCACTGAAACTGCATCGGCACTTGCCACATGCCCAGGCCGGTTAGAGCCCCCTGTGTCAGACGAAATGAATTTTCTTCACACTGTGTTAACTTTCCGAGTGTAAGGGAGCATGTTATTTTCCAAGTCAGATTGAAAACCCTGCATGCATGCGCACGCTTTTTCATGTGTGTGTGTGTGTCTGCTGGATTTTTTTATTTCTATACATCATGCATCATTTCTTATGCCCCTCTCGGACTCGCAATTGAATCGAGACAACATTATACATGGACTTGAGTCGATTTCAAGATTAAACAGAAGATTGGATATTACCATATAAATCTCCAGGATGCTTTATTCACCGTTCTGTTGGGGGCATTTTGGTTAGGCGATTACAGAAGTGCACTCACGCTGTGAATATGGCCAAGCAGTGGATGAATGACGGGATAAACACAAAAGTGATCGTAGTAAATGCATTATCCAACGGCTGTTATCGATAATAGAGAACGCTGGAAATGTTAATGCAGGGTCATGTTTAAAGGGTCTATGAAGTGAAATATTGTTTACGAACCTATTTCATGCAAATTTCTAATCTTCTTTAAATGTATGAAAATATTTGACATCCCGTTTCGGTATTTTCTTTTGAAAAGTGTCCTTCTTTAAACATTTAAAATTGTCCACGTTTTTCCGGACAACTGAGGGTGCTGTTGCTGTGATGTCATTTCAGGAAGACAATGTTCAGTTTAGGGGTTTTCTGTTCAAATTGTGAACCCCAAAATTTGGTTATTGCAATTATTTGGAAGAAAAGTTTGCTCATTGGTTTACTGCCGTGTACTTGACACAGCAACAAATGTGATGCGATCAAGCTACATGAGTCGTTTGTGGGGAATTTTCATTTGGAGATACAGGCCAAAATAGGACCACTTCATCACAAATCTCTTGGTGTTCTGACTTTCATAATTTTTTAACTAAAGGTAGTATCAGCATTTGGTTTTCACAGAAGTAATGCTGAGATTGTGCTCTTTTCAAATCTGTAATAAAAGGTTTTTTGACCGGGGTCGACAAACGACTCATTTAGCTTGATCACATCACAAATTATCAAAGAAAAGAACATTTACGACAAAGAAATATCCAAAACCCTGGCAACTTTTGGTGCTGAAAGAGCTGAAACATTGAAGTTTCTGCCTGAAGTGACATCACCCTCATGCTCATGAATATGAAAATTAGCATTAGCATAAAAACCAAGAAATCACCAAAATACCTTGAAAATGTCAAAACGAAAATGAAAATAGGGTTAAAAGGGGCACAAAGGTGCATTTCCAAGGGTTGCATTAAAAGAATTACATTGCATGGGCCCTTTAAAAACATCTAGTACATTGCACACGTACTGAAGTTTCATTGTGGAAGAAATTTATCGTCTGAATAAATGCATCATATTTTAAACCAATCATCAGCAGGCATCAAACTAAGAGGCAGATCACTTAACTGAGCCTCACTATTTAGTGCCATGTTTAATTCACTGATTGTACTTAAATCCATACTGAATGAATGCTGAATAGGTGTGCTAACATTTATCCTTAGAGTTGCTAAGCCTAAAATATCATTTTACACATAATTTAAGTGTATGTTGCAAATGCACACAAGCATGACACAGTTTACTTTTTGAGGGGAACCTGTTTAGCAAAACAAATTTAAACTGCTTCCTCGTCAAATTTCTATGCTTAACCTTTTTCGACTGTTCCAGGTAGCAGTAATTGCAGATTTTTTGTCTTTCACAAAAAAAACCAGTGATCTCAAAAGCAAAGAAAACATTCCCCATGTGCATTTCGCTCTTACCCCCCGCCCTGCAAACAGAATGCTGGGATACTCTGATGAGCTTCACAGAATCTTGTGAAGGAAGTGGCCTATGACCTATGTATAAAGCATCTGGCTGCAGCTGTTCAAGACCACAGTTAGACAATGTGCGCAAATGCTATCTGACAACTTCCCATAGAAATGCACACGTTCCATACCGGATGTGATTTCTGTTTCATTGCGAAACATGTGGACAAAATTTTCAGCGTCGCATAATGCAATCCGACTGTTCGTGAATCGAAACAGAGCCTGAGCAAGTGAAGGGAATTGTAAAGTTACAACACAGATACGTTTTACAGAATTTCCTACATCATTACGCTTTTCAATGAAAAAAAAAATCTGTAAACTTAATAAATGAGTAATGAATCAGTCTTAACGGCCATTTCAAACCTTGCAGAGTCATGACCGTGATGACGCGCAGGTCACAGGTCACGCAGAATCCAACCAATGAGAGCGTGAATTCATCGGAGTATCCCAGCGTCCTGTTTGCAGGGCGGGGGGTACGAGCGAACATGTGCATGTAATTGCCTGCCAAACCTGAGAGGGCGCTATTGAAATTACATGGTTCGCTGGAATGGGACATGGAGCAATTTAAAAAAAAAAAAACAATTATATGAAATTACTTATATTTGGAAAATTTTAAACATTAGGCCTATTTGTTTATTATCTGTTTTGTTGTGTTTATGTGCTGTAGATTTTGAGGGAGCGCTTCAAAATTGACATGCCCCATCGCTTCAAGGTATTCTCATACAAGAGCCCCACGTTCTGCGACCACTGTGGCACCCTGTTGTATGGCCTCTTCAGACAAGGGGTCAAATGTGAAGGTATGATCAATGCAAAATGTTCAAATTAAACGAGTCATAAGTCACCAGAGTTAACACTTTAGAGAAATTAACTTGATCAAACTCCTGCAAAATGAAAATCAGTCGATATTTCCACTTCAATAACTGCATGTACCGTTAATAAGATGTCAAGCGGACTGATAATAATAATAATAATAATAACAGATTCTTATATAGCGCTTTTAACTAAGATCAAAGCACTTTACATTATTATTACCCCTAATCATTGGGCCAATTATACATTCCATATACCATCTCAGCTCCCTGGGGAGTATACAGCTCGATGCAGCCTGTTAGGTGCAAGGAAGCTAATTCAATCACAATAACCATCACTGCCCTCATAGGTACCCATTTACTCCTGGGTGGAGAGAAGCAATGAGTGACAAAGTGCCTTGCTCAAGGGCACACGCACCATGACCCCGCCAGGACTCGAACCCACGACCCGCAGCTTTACCCACAGACCACGAATCAGTGCCCTTAACCACGAGGCCACAGCACTCCACATGTATTTCAAAATAAATAGCAGATTGTGCATGCTCTTTCCACTGCCCATAGAACCAAAACCAATGTGAAATAATGTCCTTACAAGTCTCGTTTTGTTGGATCTTGTCACATAAAATGTATGTTGATTGTTGTCATATGTAGATTGGATTTTTATATCATTTGTTTAATTTTGCCAAAAAATACAAAAGTAGAAAAAGACAGAAAGCTAGAGCACAGACAGCCTTAAAGGCAGAGTAGATCATTTGTCATTCGTGCATTTAATTTTCATTTGAAGCAACAACAGTGCTCAAATCTAACCTGATGAAATTTTAGCTCAGTGTACGGTATGCTGTATATGCCAAGAAAACAATGTTCTAGGATCTTGATTTCAATTCAAAAGTTGCTGAGTCATTACAAGATGATATTTGAGTCGGGGAGATATAAATCAAATTAGGTTTTGCCCTTCACCGACGTTTAAACACTGTATACTCAGTGTGTTACCTCCCGAGTGAAAGATGGAAAAAATCACTCGGGTGGGACTCGAACCTACGACCTCCTGCTTTCTATCTTTCACTCGGGAGGTAACACACTGAATATACAGTGTTTAAACATCGGTGAAGGGCAAAACCTAATTTGATTTATATCACCCCGACGCAAAATATCATCTTATAATAGTTTATGCGGTACCCGCTGCTACCGGTATGCACATCAGATTCGAACCAGCCAACCAATCCCGTTAGCTCGGTGGTCGAGTGGTAAGACATCTGCACTAGAAAGCAGGAGGTCGTGGGTTCGAGTCCCACCCGAGTGATTTTTTCCATCTTTCACTCGGGAGGTAACACACTGAGTATACAGTGTTTAAACGTCGGTGAAGGGCAAAACCTAATTTGATTTATATCACCCCGACGCAAAATATCATCTTATAATAGTTTATGCGGTACCCGCTGCTATGCACATCAGGTTCGAACCAGCCAACCGATCCCGTTAGCTCGGTGGTCGAGTGGTAAGACATCTGCACTAGAAAGCAGGAGGTCGTGGGTTCGAGTCCCACCCGAGTGATTTTTTCCATCTTTCACTCGGGAGGTAACACACTGAGTATACAGTGTTTAAACGTCGGTGAAGGGCAAAACCTAATTTGATTTATATCACCCCGACGCAAAATATCATCTTATAATAGTTTATGCGGTACCCGCTGCTATGCACATCAGATTCGAACCAGCCAACCGATCCCGTTAGCTCGGTGGTCGAGTGGTAAGACATCTGCACTAGAAAGCAGGAGGTTGTGGGTTCGAGTCCCACCCGAGTGATTTTTTCCATCTTTCACTCGGGCTGTAACACACTGAGTATACAGTGTTTAAACGTCGGTGAAGGGCAAAACCTAATTTGATTGCTGAGTCATGTTTTGAATTGCGCCCAAAATCAGCGTCCGGGACATGTTCTCATTCAACCGATTGCAGCTACATGATGTCACGCACTGAACTGACGAATTATAGCAACCGCACATGCGTGTGCATCGTGTCAACGCTTCCACGCACCCATTCACGGCTTCGCCGAATTAAAAACAAACTACTGCCGGAAATTTCCAAAAATGCGTCTTTAGTCGCATCTTTGGAAATGACCTTCTTTGTCGCTTTCTTCAAAATGACAGCATGCCAGAAAGAATAATTTCGCAGGGAGTTTAGTTCCCTTACTATCTTTAAACCAAGAATGCTTTGCAACAATAATTTTGTCGGGTACTTTTTGGGTAGCTGCAAATGATGTTCCCTACCTTTAAACGCACTACCACTGTGAAGTCTCATGGAATATTTCAGCAAAGAAATTTACATTGAATGTGTTTTTTTCTTTTCGGGTTCCAGACTGTAATGTGAACGTCCATCACAAGTGCAAGAAGCACGCTCCCAACCTGTGTGGTATCAATCAGAAGCTGATGTCTGCTGCCATCAAAGAAGTGGAGGTAAGCAATCACAAACAATCATTACAATCCCTGTGCTCTTCAACAAATTCATGTTTTGTTTCTCTTAATAAATTTTCAACTTGTTTAGTCCATTTTTGGACTTCTGCATCTTCTGATAAAAAAAGGGTTTGTTATAGGCACAAGCATATCCGCGTCAAAAGCAGTCTGGCTTCCAGTCCATACATTATCGATACTGATTGTGGGGCAGGAACCAGCATACCCCGCAAGAATGGAATTATTGCCCGTTAGCCAATAATTTCGACATTTGTAAAGTAATAATTCAACAACTAAACATGGCCAGATATTTTTAGGTCGATGTCTCATTCAAAAGTGGATAATTTTTGTATGGCTAGAAAAAGAGCAAGTTAGAAAAGGAATCAGTTGGTTTTTTTTCGGGATGAAACTCAAGCACAGGGAATGTAAGATTAAATAAAAGGATGCAAATTGGAAAGAGTGTTTTATATATCTTAATAGATTTGCCGTTGCTATTGGATTGCAGCATAGTTTTATGTGTTGACCGTACAAGACTGACCGTATTGACATGAACAACAAACAAAATTCAGTACGTTGTCAGTCGATTGGAGGCATGTGCAGTCTTTGCTGGGACAATTCCCGCTTCTGTCGAAGCTAGAGTTGAGGCGGGAGATTCTGGAACAGGATGCTAAATTTGGTGGACTGTTAAAGGGAATGTACAACATTTGCTTTTGCTGCAATTTTCAGAAATAAATGGATTTGGCGGATTAGTATGTTATAGAAAATATTGTTAAACTGACTTAATTCACGTTTTGGGCTTGTAGTTGCTGGAAAAACCGAGAAAACCTATCATATTCTTGTAGTCTGGTTCCCTGATCCCACTTAAGATGAAACGGAGCAATTAATACTCTTTGAGGAATTGTAAGGTCGGGAATAAGTCTAGCGCAGGCTTGCACCCCTTCACAGTTGTGTAATCAATTGCAAAGAAAAGTCAGAAAAACTTAATATGAAAAAGTAGGAACAGTTTTTGAAAAGAGCCAGTTTTCTCCAATGCTGGTCGGCCGACCAGCGTTGGAAAAATACAGTTTTTCGTGAAAATGTCAGCACACCAGGAGCCACGATTTTAAAGGATGCTTTAGACTGTCATTCCCTAACAGTACGTAATAATTTGATCATTTCGTTCCTTGATGTTTGCAAATGTTGTATCTTCCCTTTAAGGCGAGAGATTCGACATTGTTCTACTAGAATCTCCCGCCTCAGCATTCAACTGATTTAGCCTCCATTGCTTAAACTACTATACCAGAGTCTGGGAGTCTCCTGATGACGAGTAGAGCATACTGTTCGAAAAGTCGAGTTAAACCAACTGGTTCTTCTTTGAACCACACAACTCACAAAGATACATCATTCATGGGGTGTTACCGCAAACCTCCCATCCATTTTAAGACCGTGTTTCAAACTTTGGAATGTTTACTTCCGGTGTGTTTAGGACAAGAAACGCTTAGCTGCCAAGGGTGCTGCAGTGAAGACAGAGGCATTTGAAGATGATGACGATGATGATGAGTAAGTCTGAATGTTGAGCTTAGCGCAGAATTTGTTACACAGAATTTTGCTAGCAGAACCAATTAATTTCTCGGGTATCATATTTGGCAAAGTGCAGTGTTTGCCCAGAAGTAGTTTTGCAAAATTTCCATTCAGAGTGCCAGCAAGCAATTAATTCAATAAATATTCATAAATAATAATGTAGTGCTTATAGCGCTCAATACCTAAGGTTTCGAAGTGCTTTGCAATAGGCCTTAGATGTAGTGACATCACGCTTTGTTTACATGTGCGCTTGCCTTTGTAGTAGACGGTCCCCACTTTATCTGGTATATCGACTTCGCTCCCATAGGAAAAGTGCATATATGTAAACAAAGCCATTACGTCATTACGTCTTGGGTCTATTATTGTCCCTGTTCATCAGGAATGAGACCTTTTTTTGCAGCAGCAGCAGCAGCAGCAGCTCGAGATCAGCACAATTTAGTCTTTACCTTCACAGGTACCAATTGGTACTCCTGGGTGGAGAGAGGCAATTGTAGTAAAGTGCCTTGCCCAAGAACGCATGCCCCGTGTACCCCTCAGGGGTTTAAACCCATATACCAGGGCGTATGGGTCAAACATTGTAACCATTGGACAACACTGCAAATTATGTCGATACCTCAATGAAAGTAGTATGACCAACCAACCAACCAACAAACTACCAAAATCTGATGAAAACACTACCTCCTGGGCGGAGGTAAATTTAACAAACATACCTATAGTGATTCCATGCTTTCATCAAAGTGATACGGTCTTTTGATGGTACATGTAATAAAATAAACTTCAGAGGTGCTGAGCAGTCCATGTTGTCAGGAATTTCCGTAGCAATAAAAAGCGATAAGGAAAGGAAAAAATAGAAATTAGCCCTGACATGTTTTCTTTATGTTGTTGATCAGGATACTATTAGGAAAGAAATCGTAAGTATACTGAATGTTTATCATACTCTGTATGCACTTCCGTACATAAACCTAAATGTATCGGTATTCAACCTTGTACGTGTAAATGTATACATTGTATATGTACATTGTACACCAGCAAAGCCAATAACAACACTGCCTCAAAACATGTTGTCATGATGTCGTTGTAACAGTTGTGTGTTGTATACATGTGCGCATGGATGTCATGGTAGAATTTAGGCAAATGCATTTTTGTCTCATAAATGTCGCTCTCTTTTATCTGGTTCGTTAGTGTGACGTCATCTCAATTCAACCATGCGTACTTCACACGGTGCAGCATAGCACGAATGGAACCGGAAGTTAACGCAACTTGAGCGTTTATCCAATGGGCGCTAGTAATCAGTGGTGCGCGCGTGTGTATGACGTTTTTACTAATGCACCGGATGGGCCAAAGAAGGTCTTTAAGTGAGAGATTACTTAAAAGCAAAACTTACATGTACATGTAACTATTTTTCCCAATAATGATAATACGTGTTAATAATCCTGGTGCAAATACATTGTAGATTATCATATGCACACTATTCACAAGTTCTACATTACACACACTTCCTCAAAATGCACAATTCTCATGTACATGTACACAGGCAAGTCATGCTTTTAGGGAAATACCGTACATGTACATATACATGTATATGTACGGTGTGTTGCATTCCCGACCATTCGACTTGCTTGAGTAAAACATTGCAAACATCAGATGTGCCTACATGTACCATAGTGTTTCTTGCATTGTGTTTCATAAATTCTGCTAATAACGTGTAACTGTAAGAAAATATTTTGACACTCGAACGTTGTGCACTACAGTTTATTGTTTTCAATTAATTTGAGTGCTTTCAGTTACCAGCCCCAGTGTGTACATGTACGAAAGGGAAAGGAATGACAAAAATGATAACAAAATTGTTGAAATTTTGTAAACAATCTTGTCTGAAGCAATATTGCAATATGTACTGGCTTGTGATTCTGTTATTGGTAATTGTAATACCAGTATCTTCCCTTTGTGTTTGATTGTATACTTCTCTTGTAAACCCACCCCCCCCCCAACAAAACATTACATGTCGCCTTTAAGGGTTGACTGTTTGTACCACAGATGAATTGAGTCTAGTTACTCTTATGTGTCAGCATGATTCATGTACACATTGTGTTTTGATTGCTTGTTAAACAAAAGTCAGCTTTAGTACATGTATTTCTTTACACCCATATGTCATGGTTTTTTACCATCTGTTTCTGTATTGTGCAATTAGTGGCTTAAATGAAATGTGATGTTTGCTACATGTATGTACATGGCTAACCTTCGATACAAGGAAGAGACCATTGAACTCAGTTGACATTATCAAGAGTTAATTTCACACACATTCCCATGAAAGGCAAGCCCAATCCATGTACGAACATGTACTGGTGCATCAATGGACTGATATGATAATTTGTGACAGACGGTCTGGAACATAGATTGAGATTACTTGATAAGTTTTTATACCAAAAATGTGTATACACATATCGAGACTGAGTATACAGTGTTTATACATGTACGTCAGTGAAGGCCAGAACCTAACTGATTCACATCACCCAGATGCAAAATTCCATCTTACACATGTCTTATGAAAAATGTGTATGCACTGAACCGTTTGGGAGGGGGGGGGGGGGGGAATGTTTGACTTTTTAAAATGAATAGCATAGACATTTTGCACATTCAAATATTCAAATACCCATCATTGAATTACAAACATATTTATACCATAACATAAATTGGCACCTGGGTTGACCTTTGACCTGCCTTTTTAAACTGAATAGTATAGAAATTTTGCACATTCAAATATTCAAATACCCATCATTGAATTACAAACATTTAAATCCTAACATAAATTGGCACCTGGGTTGACCTTTGACCTGCCGTGACGTTTGACCTGCTGTGACCTTTGTCTTGCTTTGACCTTTGTCCCCAGGGCGATTTATGAGCCGCTGTGGCAGGCTCTCGCCCCGCCCGACAAGCAAGACAAGGCCCCGCCCCCACCTCCCAAGCTGTACAAGATTGAGGATTTCTCCCTGGTCAAAGTCCTGGGCAAAGGAAGCTTTGGAAAGGTAGATAAATCTTTCATTTTATTTTTTTGAATGTTTAACTTGTGAGGACTTGTAAGGACTGGACTTTCATGCTACTTTAACTAAACTGGTAAATGGGTCATTCCATGAAGTTGAGGAACAGGCCATCATTTTCTGAGGTCTGAGTATAAAACAGTTTTTTCTTTGTTATGGAATGGTTATTTCTAAAACAAATATCATTTGACAATAAGGCTATAAGATAAGCTTTTAAATGATACCAAGCTCGATGATATTCAAAAATATTTCTCATACCCAAATTCTGTAAATGTTATGGCGTCAGTACGGAAGCTTGAATTGCCTTCCGCAATACCGCGTTACCGCGATAATTTATCGCAGAAATCAGGAAATTAAAGATAATTCCTTCCGCGATACCGCGTTACTGCGATAATTTATCACAGAAATCCAGAATTCAAAGATAAATCATTCAGCGATACCGCGTTACCGTGATAAATTATCACAGTAACGCGGTATCGCGGAAGGAATAATCTTTGAATTCCGCATTTCTGTGATAAATTATCGCAGTAACGCGGTATCAAGGAATACGTATCTTTGAATTCCGGATTTCTGTGATAAATTATCACAGTAACGCGGTATCGAAGAAAAGGTATCTCTGATTTCTGGATTTCTGTGATAAATTATCACGGTAACGCGGTATCGAGGAAAAGGTATCTCTGATTTCTGGATTTCTGTGATAAATTATCACGGTAACGCGGTATCGCGGAAGGAATTATCTCTGATTTCTGGATTTCTGTGATAAATTATCGCAGTAACGCGGTATCGAGGAAAAGGTATCTCTGATTTCTGGATTTCTATGATAATTTATCACGGTAACGCGGTATCGCGGAAGGAATTATCTCTGATTTCTGGATTTCTGTGATAAATTATCGCAGTAACGCGGTATCGAGGAAAAGGTATCTCTGATTTCTGGATTTCTGTGATAAATTATCACGGTAACGCGGTATCGCGGAAGGAATTATCTCTGATTTCTGGATTTCTGTGATAAATTATCGCAGTAACGCGGTATCGTTGAATGATTTATCTTTGATTTCCGGATTTCTGTGATAAATTATCTCGGTAACGCGGTATCGCGGAAGGCAATTCAAGCTTCCGTATGTCAGCCATAAAAAAATGTTGAAAAAGTGTGACAAAACAAAACAAAAATTTATGAACAAAACAAGGTTTGGATGTAACAGGATGTGGCTTCCGGTTACATCCACAGCTTGTCCATAGTCATCACATGTAAATATATATTGTGTACAAATTTACCAACTTTCCAAAATCATGTGACTTAAATTTGAATGAATTGTTAAACCACAATGTATGGGCTATCAAAAAAAGCATAAACAAAACTTGAACAAGCAATTTGAAAATTTGACCCCAATATCACACTTTGTATCTCAACTTCATGGAGTGACCCAAATATGTAATATCACAAATTCTATAGTTGCATCCCCTCTGGTATTCGTTTAATATTGTTTAACAACGTTGCCCATCTATCCTTCACCATCATTTGAAAATTGTCAGAGTGTAACAGATTTTGAAGAGGAATACTGCATGTAGCATTGTTTAAAATAGGACTGGTGTCAAATACACTGTGAGATTACTCTGCCTGAAATGATATTGTTTAGAAGAAAACTATGCTCCGTTTCAAAAAAAGTGTGCCCCAGGCACCTGTTTTTGACATATTTTCATGTGTTAGCAATGGAATCCAGTCACGAGGCCCAAAAATTGTGTGCACGTTTTCTCACCATGTGTAGTATCCTGAGCTGAATCTTCAACAGGTTAGTTGCTATGCACCCTTCTGAAGATTTTGGGGATTGTTTTGCCTCGACAATGACGAAAATATACAAAAATGATCCCACGTGCCTTTATGACAAGTACAATCTGTGTTGAATGGCTGTACTGTTTATGTAAGACTGGTGAAATTGTTAATGTGTCGATGATGATGTTGTGTCTTTGGCCAGGTCATGCTAGCTCAGTGTAAAGGCACTGACAAGTACTATGCCATCAAAGCGCTCAAGAAGGATGTCGTCTTGGAGGATGATGATGTGGAGTGTACTATGGTGGAGAGACATGTCCTGGGTCTGGCCTGGCAACATCCCTTCCTGACCCACCTGTTCTGCACCTTCCAAAGCAAGGTAGGAATCTAAGAGCCCTGTCACACTTCTGCGTATCCTAATTCCTTATGAGTTGCGCATTGACATTTTTTTCATACGCAGTCGTACGCACAGTACGCACCTCATATGCATCTCGATCGTTTTGTGTAAGTTTTATGTACGCAGGTATACACATGGTACGGCCCAGTACGCTGGATAGTTTTGGGCATGCACAAAACTACGCTGCGTACGCTGTTACGCTGTTACGCAGGTCATAAGTTATAAATACGCAGCGCATCGGTCCCGCATCGGTCGTGCGCGGTACGAGTACGCTGTGTGTTCGTGGGGGATTTAGCGGTTCATACGCAGTAATACGCTGACCTCCCGGCACGCACCCCGTCAGCATATGAGCCCCCTATATTGGACGTATACATAGCGTACTTGCAGTGCAGATACAACGCACGCTGAACGAACTCATAGCGAATGCCGACGTATTGCGTCAGGCATGCGGTCGGCATAAGTCGGGTGCGTCCGGAATACGCTCGGAATGCGCACTGCATACTGACCTATTCGCAGCCAAAAAAATAATGTTGTGCACTGCATACTTAACTCTTACGCATCTCATACGCAATGGATGCGCTGAAATCGTTACTTGTACGCTAGATGTGCGTCGCACATAAGTCAAAGTAATTAAAAAATTTCGACGTTTTGAGCGTACGGCTGCGTATTGCAAAATTTTGATAAGGAACTCATAAGGAATTAGGATAGGCAAAAGTGTGACAGGGGCTTTATAGAGGGTAATGCCTTTGTTTTGCTGGGATGCATGAGTGAACCTTATGTGCTTTCATTATTACTGAATTAAATCAATCATTGCCAGACACTCGGCAGTACTTAAACCCACCATATTTATTGCTGTCAGTCAAGGCATGGTACCTTCAGTTGACAAAATTGACACAGCCTGTCATTTGCACCAATATGAGCCCAATTTATAATTTAATTTGTTCTTGTTCATTGTTTGTTGGGTTGTCTTATTGCTTATTTGTTTTTAATCAGTAATGGTTAATTTTCCTGTTGATTAAGAATGTGCCATGTGTATTTGTTTAATTTCAATTTTATTTTTTAATTTATATATTTTTACGTTTTTTATGATACCTGTAAATGGCGGGTCTCCGCTGTTGGTTATGAAATAAATAAAATTAAATAAAAAAGTACAATAAATTTACTAAACTTATAAAAATTGTCACTTGATAAGTTTTGACAGAAAAGGTATCTCTCTTCATTTTGTCACTGAGAGAGGGAGGGTTAATATTTGACATGTTTGAGTCGGGGGTTAGGAAGTGCTTGCCAACTTGGCTTGTAGATGAGTTATATATACATGTACAGCGTATACATGTTTCCTTCCTTCAAAATTTGAATGTCAACGTCATTCACGCGAAAGTAAAATGAATTCGATTGGGTGTACAGTGCTAGTGTCGTTGCGGTTTGAGGAATTTTACATTTTCATGAAGTGAAACTAACAGTCTCCTATCTATTGACCAGACATGATAACATGCTGTCTTGGTTTGTGATTATTCTCATGCCAACAGATATTTTGGAGTAATTTTTGCACCGGGTTTATACCTTGTCAATCTTGTTCTTTGCAGGGTCATCTATTCTTCGTGATGGAGTATCTGAACGGCGGTGATCTCATGTTCCACATCCAATCATCACTCAGATTTGAAGAGAGAAGAGCAAGGTACAACATATGCTACATGTAGCTTTTCCTAGCAAGTTCATCTTAATTGGAAGCTAGTTTTAATGTAGCCTCATTTGTTTTTATGCAAAATTGAATAATAAGATCAGCATTCAGTTTACCTCTAATACAAAACAAAGTCCTCCTTAATCATTGACTGACTGCAAGTAATTTGATTTTGAAAAGTGAAAGAACTTTTCAATTTCTCATTAAAAAGTGAATAACTGTTGTACAGGTTGAGTAAAAAAAAACGAAACCCAAATGTTGGGACCATTGTTTTAAGGAAGTTCTGAATGTAGCATTTTCAAAGTCTAGGATATGAAAGCCCAATTCATAAGCTTTCTTTTAGTACAAAAATCATTCAAATCACTCATGTACTGTTCAAGTTACAGAATTTTAAACACAACCACTGTTTGAAGGTTCTGTCCACGGATCACAAAAAAATTCAGTGTTTCATTCAGCAAAACAAAAACAAATCACATAGGGATGTGTATAAATTGTTTTCGTTTTACTGAAAGAACGCACACCTTTTCTATGATCCGTGGACAGAACTTTAAAACGGTGGTTGTGTTTAAAATTCCGTAACTTGAAAAGTACATGGGTGATTTGAATGATTCTTGTACTTAAAGAAAGCTTGGGCTTTCATATCCTAGATTTTGAAAATGCTACATGCAGAACTTCCCTAAAACAATGGTCCCAACATTTGGGTTTCGGTTTTTTTTACTCACCCCGTATTGATAAAAAGTCTTTGGGGTCAAAATGGTATGGACAAATCAACTTTCATTTCTTACACAACATTATTAGTTTTAAAGCAGCTAATTGTTCATTGACTATATGATGGTGCGTTATTAAGTAGACATTCCATAAAACCAAAAAAAGAATTATAAGAGAATCATCCGTACGTCATGTTTTTCTCATTTTGATAACTTGATGCCAATAATCAGCAACCCATCTTTCTGGTAGATTCTATGCTGCAGAGATCATCTGTGGTTTGCAGTTCCTCCATCGTCGCGGCATCATCTATCGTGATCTCAAGCTGGATAACGTCCTGCTGGACTTCGAGGGCCACATCAAGATTGCAGACTTTGGTATGTGCAAACAGAACATCATCAATGAGAACAAGGCATCGACGTTCTGCGGAACTCCCGACTACATCGCGCCAGAGGTAAAATCTTGTTTAATTTCTGGAATTTTTGCTTTTGGGGAAGGCTGTGGGAGGTGTGGGATGGTGTAAAAGAACCAAATAAAGAAAAAAGATTACGGTGGAACGCCGCTATAAGGAACATCGCGGGATCCACAGAAATTGACCTATTGTGGTAGAATTGCGTCAACGCAGCTTGTGAAATATTGTCCAATTACATGATATACAAATGAACTCAGGACGCGCAACATCTGAGACAAACAAAACTTAGTGTACAAAAACTCCATATGGTTGTCTAAGGGGCGTAGCTAATTCGCAAACGGCAGTAGGTCAGTTGTTTGCAATAACGATCGTTCGGTATAGCAATTTTAAGCTGCCGGTGCTCCGGTACTCATTTTTCAATAAATAGCCCCCTGCAGAACTTCACCATGCATGCCCTGGTACTTCTAGATACTGAAAGATGACTTTGAACACGTGCCAACTATTGAATGATGTAATCACACAGATAGTGAGCTTACTACCAGTACCTACAGCAATGGGTGGCTTTCCCCTTCGATTCCTTGGGAAAATATTAGCCACTTTTCGCTCTTCTGTTGACATTTTTCAAGAGCAATATTCCGTTCACTTTGTACAAAAAAATCAAGAGCCAAGGACGATGTTCGGTACAGCTGAATATTCGGTATAGCGGTGTTCAGTATAGCGACATTCCACTGTACCCTCACCCAAAATCCATTACAATCCTAATAAATAACAATTGAGACTGTGGACAGATTGAAAAATTGACACTTATTTTTAATTGGCCCTAACTCAATTAATATCTACCCGATTTGAAATGTTTGTTGTTGTTGAAAAGCTAATGAACTACACACTTCAAATATGTATCGATACATGAAGTTGCGATGTATTTTTGTTAAAGCTGTGAAAAAGAGGGAGCTTAGAGGGTTGGAAGCTTGTTTCATTTTTTTAAAATTATTGTTATTAATTTCTGGTAATTAAACCAAGCATTCCTCAAAAGCGCCTTGTGGAGTGGATACAATGAGAAGAAATTACAGTTTTGGAGGTGGGAGGAAAGCCCCAGACAAAAATATTCTGAGGAAGACAGGAAGGGACTGAAAACCCAATCCACATGTTGGCCAAGGCGGGATTGGAACCTGGGTCACAGTGGTGGAAGGCGAGGAAAGTACCGATGAACCCACTACCCAGCTGACTCCCCACTACCCAGTTGTGATTAGCCTTTCTAAAGCTACAGTCTATCATTTGTAATTTGTGCATTTTGTTCGTTTGAAGCAACAAAAGAGTTCAAAATCTAATGAAGGATACTGAGCAACTAACCTGATGAAGGTTCAGCTAAGCTTCAGCTGTACATTCCGAGAAAAACAGCATTCTAAGATCTCAATTTCAAATCAAAAGTTACTGAATCATGTTTTGAATTGTTTTGAATTGCAGCTATACGTGACGTCGCGCACTGATCCGACGAATTACAACAGCCGCGCGGGCATGTGCGTCGTTCCAATACTTGTGCGCACTGCGCTGAATAACAAAACGAACTACTAATTTAAATTTTCCTACGGTGCTTCTTAAGAATCACCGTTGGATATGCCTTCTTTCGTTGATTACTTCAAAATGACAGCTTCCCAGAAAGAATAATTCCACAGGGAGTTTAGTTCCCTTACTATCTTTGAACCAAGTTTGTTTTTCAACAATAATTACGCCAGTTACTTTTCGGATAGCTGCAAATGATGGACTCTAGCTTTAATCACACCCCATAGTGAATATTCATATTTTAAGTGGTTGGTCACAGTTCGTGCAGCGGTTTCTAACCAGTGAGGCGTCTCCTCTCCACAGATCCTGAACAGCCAGAAGTACAATTCCTCGGTGGACTGGTGGTCGTTCGGCGTGCTGCTGTACGAGATGCTGATTGGTCAGTCTCCTTTCCATGGCGACGACGAGGAGCTGCTATTTGACTCCATCCTCCATGACACCCCCCACTACCCACGCTGGCTGTCCACTGAAGCCAAGTCGTGTGTCTCAAGTGTAAGCAATCACAGCCATTGAGTTGTTGTTTTGTTGTCGAATCAAGTCACAAGTCACTCACAAAGTCCTTCAAGTCCTGTCACATGTAACTCACAATTCAAGCCTCTTCACAAGGCCCACCACGAGTAACAGTGGATGAACCGTTGCCAAATTATGCCTACATGCATGTTACAGTTCTGTTGGATACATGTAGCTTGTGACTTGACTTAAGACTTAACCCTAACCCCCTAGGCCCTTGTTGCTTACAACCATCCTCAATCCTCCAAAATCCTCCAAAATTTTTTAACTCCGCCTAAATTTTTCAAAATTGTCAGACAGTCCTGCCTCAAAATGCATTCATCCTCAATCCTCCAAAATCCTCCTTATCCCAAAACTTTGCACTCGTGTTTAAATGAAGGATAACCAACGCCAAATCCTTCAAAATCATCAGACAGTCCTGCCTCAAAATGCATTCATCCTCAATCCTCCAAATTCCTCTTGTGCTTCATTCACCATTCATCCTCAATCCTCCAAAATCCTCATGTGCTTCAATCACCATTCATCCTCAATCCTCCAGAATCCTCATTTGATTCAATCACCATTCATCCTCAATCCTCTAGAATCCTCCAAAACCGCCAGGAGGATTTTGGAGGATTGAGGTGGGTTAGGGTTAAGGACGTGTGAGGAGTGAGGACGTGTGAGGACTTAAGAGGACTTGCGATGACTTACGTGGAAATGTGATGGCCTCTGGTGCAAAGAAAGTCAAGGACCTCTCTTTGAAAGAAAAGATGGTATTTTCCAAACTTTGGCTTAACCCATCAGCACCTTGGCTTCACCGTATGTATTCACTGCAAAATCAATAGAACCGCAGAGTGCTCAGGCGGTTTTGGGCGCTACAATGAGTAACAGGCAGGGCGGTTTTGGGCGCTACATTGAATAAAAGGTTAAAGAGGTTGTGGAATGCTCGAAGACATTTCCGTCATTTTACGGGTATATGTAGCCTAAGGTGTGATGAAATAAAAACGACTATTGTTTCTGTCATAAAATGAGTACAAAAGGTACTTTTGAGAGCTGTTTTTCAAGTCCTGTCGTGCCTGTTTCGACCGAGAACGTGCAATTTGTGTAAAAGTCGTCGTTGCGGGCAGCAAACAAAACACAGTAAATCGTGACGTAATAAACAGGACTCCCGATGCAGAGTAGCATAAACGAGTCCTGTTTATTACGTCACGATTTACTGTGTTTTGTTTGCTGCCCGCAACGACGACTTTTACACAAATTGCACGTTCGGGTGGAAACAGGACCTGAAAAATAGCTCTCAAAAGTACCCTTTGTACTCATTTCATGACAGAAATGACGGAAATGTCTTCAAGCATTCCACAACCTCTTTAATCTACAACATGACACATTTATAATGGTTTAATGGTGTATCATTGCACCCCATGAGGAAATTAGACCACTGCTAGAGAAAGAGTAGAGTCAGAATGATGTCAATCAAATTACCTTTTGCCCTTCATCGACGCATAAACACTGTATACCCAGTGTGTTACCTCCCGAGTGAAAGTTACAGGTCGTGGGTTCGAGTCCCACCCATGACGTTTATACGACGGTGAAGGGCAAAACCTAATTTGATTTACATCACCCCAACGCAAAAATTCCACCTTATGAATAGTTAATGCGATACCCGCTGCTATGTACATCTGATTCGAACCAGCCAACCGATCCCGTTAGCTCGGTGGTCGAGTGGTAAGACGTCTGCACTAGAAAGCAGGAGGTCCTGGGTTCGAGTCCCACTGGAGTGATGTTTTCCAACTTTCACTCGGGAGGTAACACACTGAGTATACAGTGTTTATACGTCGGTGAACGGCAACACCTAATTTGATCTACATCATCGCGACGCAAAAATTCCATCTCAGAATAATGTTTATAGTGTTTAACTTGTGCTTCACCCATCAGTACCTTTACTACATTGTATTATATTGTAACTATTTCTTGAGGAATCCATACAACCATAAGAGTGCTGAGGAGGTTTTCGGGCTGCACAGGGAGTAAGAGGCAAAGCATTTGGGGCTGAGTAAAGACTAATGGTCAATCATGAACAATTGAAGAATTGAAGTGTAAACTTTCATATGTTCAAAAGAATTGTGACACAGAAGATTACCTCAAAGGAATGTGAAGTGCGGCGCACAGACATTTGAGAAACCTCTCAACTGAAGTTTGTACTTAAAGGGAATGTACATCATTTGCTTTTGCTGTAATTTTCAGAAATGGATGGAATTGGGGGGTTGGAAATATATAGCAAATATAGTTACACTAACTTTTTTGAGGTTTTGGGTTCAAAAATGCTATAAAAACCAAGAAAAACAATCATTTTCCTGTAGTCTGGTTCCCTGACTCCATATGAGAAGAAACAGAGCAGTTTACATACATTGGGGAATTGTAAAGTCAGGGAACCAGTCTAGCTGGCTCGTACCCGTTCATAGGTTTGTAATCGATTGCAAACAAGTACGATGGTCAATTGGGGCCAGTATTTGAAAAAAAGCCAGTTTTTTCCAACGCTCATCGGCCGATCAGCGTTGGAAATTGATACAAAAATACCACTTTCTTGAAAATGACAGTATACCAGGTGCCATGATTTTACAGGATGCTTTACACTGTCATTCACTAACAGTCCAGCAAGGTATTTCAAAATGATTTGGTAGTTTTATTTTTTGATGTTTGCAAATGTTGTATTTTCCCTTTAAGCAGTCTGGAATTTAGTTTTGAGTCCAAACTCTAACCAGCTGTCCATTTCACATGTTGTATTCGTCATTGAACTTTGCAGCTGCTCGTACGCGACCCCAGCCAGCGGATAGGAATCAAGAGTGAAATCCGCAACCACGATTTCTTCAAGTCTGTCAACTTCGAGAAGCTGGAGAGAAGAGAGATCCCTCCTCCATTCAAGCCCAAGATTGTAAGTACAGACCCTTTCAAGATCTGATCTATTTGTCAAAGATGTCGCAGAGCAGTGAGCCGCTCTACTAATGACGTCACACTTTGTTTGCATGTGCACTTTCCTATGGAGCCAGTGGGGGCCCACGGTCCACTGAGCAGCACAGGAAAGCACACATAGAAACAAAGTGTGACGTCATCAGTACAGAGGCTTATTCCATTTTTTTTTTCATGTAACCACAGAGTGTTGTACGTACTAATAATAATAACAGGTTCTTATATAGCGCTTTTAACTAAGATCAAAGCGCTTTACATTATTATTACCCCTAATCATTGGGCCAATTAAACATTCCATATACCATCTCAGCTCCCTGGGGAGTATACAGCTCGATGCTGCCTGTTAGGCGCAAAGAAGCTAATTCAATCACAATAACCATCACTGCCCTCATAGGTACCCATTTACTCCTGGGTGGAGAGAAGCAATGAGTGACAAAGTGCCTTGCTCAAGGGCACACGCACCATGACCCCGCCAGGACTCGAACCCACGACCTGCAGCTTTACCCACAGACCACGAATCAGTGCCCTTAACCACGAGGCCACAGCACTCCACTACTTTAATTTCCTGGAATATTGTACAAATGACATCAGTTTTAGCTAAAAGACGCATACCCTGTTAAAGAAGTATGCCCTATGGCCTTTAAAAAAAAAAAAAAATTCGAATGTCTAAGTTTCTCCTTTTTTCCCCTCCAATTTTGGGCATTTGCAACCCTCTGCAAAGAACTTTCATTTTCCACACAAACAAGCCTTGCCTGGCAAGAGCTGAATTAGTATTGCCCCATAAATAATTATTTTTTGTAAATAAATAATTCAACAATTAAACGTGTTGGATTTTTATTCATTCAGGTATTGTTCAAAAACGCATACGTTTCTTATAGCTAGGAAAATAGCATTTGAAAAAAACAAGGAGAGTGCCAGTGCCACTGTAAGGCCAAAAAAAAATTTTTTCGGTCTCTGGTCAGACCAAATTTCCGGAATTGACGCGGCGACGCGGCTTTTTTTTTTTTTTTCTTCAAGCTTGGATTGTACAGACAAGGTGGGGTACTATTTTGCTTTTTTGGTGTCCTCATGTACATTGGTGTCCTTCATAATTTGCCTTGGTGCTCTCGATCATTTGCCGTGGTGCAATTTCCCATTCCTTGGTGCTCTTTGGTAAAAAAAAAATTGAGGAGGTGCGGCAATAGAGGGCGCTGTTGGAGCTACCGCGGAACATTTTGGAAAAAAAACAAGATTGACACGCATGATTAAAATCGACGCGCGCGCTGACCAGAGACCGACCTATATTTTTTTTTTGGCCTAAGGTGTATCTTGTACAAGGTCAATAGAAAAAAATCTGTGCAATATCTCATCAAATGTACTCGCATTCCCTCGCCATTTCAAGATTAAATATAATGAACAAACAATAAATTACAATTCTAATTCCAGGAATACCTATTCTTTCTTGTTTCCCCCCCCCCCCCCCCCCCAGAAATCTGCCTCTGATTCCAGTAACTTTGACCCCGAGTTCACCATGGAGAAGGTGGCCCTGTCAATGGTTGACCGACAGGTCCTCGAGACCATCAACCAAAATCAATTCCGCGGCTTCTCCTTCACCAACCCCATGATGGAGCAGTAGTTTAAACGGCTGGACAGGAGACTAAACTCATTCAACAAAGCAACAGACAATGGGAGGCTGGAAGCGAGTCTAACCAACAATGATCATGTGTAGCTATAGTGTGAGTCTAACCAACGAATTTACATACTTTTTAGCATTCAAGTGATGTTAGACTAGAAGGTGGCTGGAACACAGTCTAACAGTGGTAGAAAGTAGCCCGACTGTTGTCGTATTAATATTTCATTTGTACAGTTTCAAGACAAATTTAACACAGTGTTGTATAATGGTATATTTATGTTGTATAAATCCGGCATTTGTTGAAGAGCTGTTTATACTTTTAGTTTCACTTCTTGGTTTGGGGTTTTTTTTCTCCTTTTTTTTTTTGGATTACACAGACTGATCGTGATAATTTTTGGATTAATCTTGAGAGCAAACAGTTAAAGAACAAAAATTTCCAATGTAGAAAGTAGACTTCCTCTTTTAAACCCTCCTAACTCGTGCATTTTAAAAAGCATGTATTGTCTTGGATGATGATGATGTCAAAAGTCTATCATGCTTAGGATATGTAATTGAGCCCCGGTTCTTCCAGACGCAGTCTTCGACATTTCAAAAGGGTTGTTTTTTCCAGAGTGACTCTTTTCCATTTTAAACGCTAAATACCAGAGTGTAATCGTGATGGGAGACGTGTTGCACATTCCATGAGGATGACAATGCAATCAGAAGATTGTTCGGTATAAACAGTGTTCGTTGTAGCAGCATTCGATTGTAAAATGAAATAGTCGGAACCACATTTCGTTAGGCAGCGTTGCTGGCACTGGCAATGCATTGCAAAAAATGCAATCAAATATAGCATTTCATATTCTCTCATGTGATTGTGTATAAAAAAATATGGATCAGTAAATCACACATGTAGCGCTGATTAATTATGTTTTTAACGTTGTTTCCAACTTGATTGCATTTGGGTGGTTTGACAGTCACGATTCCAAACGTTGCTCACGAGTATTTGTTAATCTTTAATATTTTATCTTTCCTCATGTATGTACTTATAGTTTATCATTTGTTAATATGTGTGTATATATTTTACCCAGTATTACAGTTACGTTGCAAATATATATTTTGTATTTCTGGTAAGCTTATTCTCTCTGCCTCACACATGTTGTTCTTGCACAACATAGTATCTGACAATTGTTGCTGTGTAATGTGTTCTTGCACAACATAGTATCTGACGATTGTTGCAGTGTAACGTGTTAAAAGCAAGGTTTGTTGTTTTTTTGCTTTGAAAAAATGCTTGTCAAGGAAAAGCAGATACACTCTGCATCATTAGCACTTATTTGAATGTTTGCTTTGGATTTTAAATTCCATACAAAAAGTTTCATTTGCATTCCTTGGCCGAGTTGGGGTGCATATAAACCCCCGTAGGAAACAGATCATGTTCATTCCAATTTATTACGTATTGAATCATTCCCAGCTGATCAACAGTATACAAATAATGAATGTTTATGTGTGCAATGGTAAGAATAATTTTATCAGGTGACAGATGGAATGTTCAACAAGCGCGAATCTCTAGTTGTACATATTTTTTGTCAATTGTTTTTTTCACTGAGCTCTAGTGAACCATTTGATTGGACCATCAGACGACCTGGCTATTGTTCACAGTTGCAAGTATATATTTAAAAAATAATAATTTCATTCCCTGAGGCGAAGCCGTGTGGGTTGGAACATTCCATCTGTCACCAAATGAAAATTATTCTTTCCGTTTCACGGATTTGTTTTATACAACACCAGAATAAATCCTCATCATCTGATTAGTCAGAGCTGTAAAAAGTGTGACCGTGCAATGGAACTTCCATTTACCGTGGAATACATCTTCTATTTCTGCCGTGCGGACGCGCCATGCGTTGGGACGAATAATTCAATGACGTATAATTCAATGACGTATAATTCAATGACGCATGATCCACGACCAGCCAATCAAATGACGGGGATTTATTCAGGCACTGTATAATTCCGAATATCTACATTTTATGCCGCGATATAAATTGAATATTCCATATATATTTTCACATAATAGCAGCTTATCACCATGAGAAACTGTGATTATTAAAAGGATATTTATTTTTTTGTGGCAATTAACAATTTTTTTTAAATTAAGCATTTACAGTAATGTTTCAAATTAATCGTGCATTAAAACAGCGAGTATACATGTAGTTGTCAATCGTTAACGTTTAACACACCATTCCGCTTGCATTATAAATACACATGGACCTTAAACAGGGTTTCTTCTTGTCGTTTTGTATTAAAAAAAATTAAAAATAAAGAATAACTTACAGGAAAATAATAAAGAATTTCTTACTTCCAATAGAAAACCTTCAGTATTGCTTTTTGTCATAAATGCCATGTAAATGTAAATATCAGGGCACACTTTTGTCGCAACACTGCTTCCTGTGCGAGGTGTGCTAATTAAAACAAAAATGGTTTTGGGTTGTAGAATGTGTAGGTCAAACTTGTGTCAACAGTAGGGTAGAAAATTAAATTTATGTAGGTATACTTCTTGTGCATCAATATCTACTGCCATAAAAGACCGGAACAAACCAGCAGAACATTTTCCCTGCTCACGGAAAGTTGTGAAACATTCCACAGATTTCAAAAGTTTCATAAGAATTGCTATAATTTCACTACTTTGCTCACTCCCTCTGTTGTAAAATTATAGGAATTCTTATGAAACAATTCCTAGAATTTTACTACAAGGGGAGTGAGCAAGATATTTTCATGCAGTTGGCATGGATTTTGAGGGGCATAGCACTTGTACTACAGGGTGGTGCAAAGAGAAGGAAAATCCACTTTTGACAGCAATTTTCACCTACTTGTTGAGCATATTCAATTTAACGGTATTAAAATATTGATCTTTAAAAATAAGTGACGAAAAAATGATTGCAAATGCATATTTTGTTTTTGAGATATTGTAGTTTATAAATGTCATGTGCCAAACCCGTTTGCCCACTGACGGCTTTATTCCAGCTGCTTGACAGAGCTCCGGAGCTTGATTTGAAGACAAAAAACACTAGACTAGACTTACACATAGACGACAGTGATTTTGGTGACTTGTATTCAAATTGGCATAATAACACTATTCTTGCTATTTTTTTTAATACTTTTTTTCACCAGTATACTTCACTACATGAGAGAGAAAAAAAGTTCAAATAAGTTAAGTAGGTTAAAATTCCTGTCACAAGTGGGTCTCCTTCTTTTCGCACCACCCTGTACATTGCATTTGAGGAAACCCTATCCAAGGGAAAGTACAATCATATTGCAGAATGTGGCGGAGTACAATTTCTTTGCCTACACGGTACATGGTTATATTGGTGACACGTTGTGTCTTTGGGAAGTGACTTCAGACACTTCAGTGGCGAATGTGTGTTTGCAAGTTGTTGCCAAGTAGTTTGGATGTGACCTACATGTGCCTGTGCACGTATGTTAGTCATTTTCTCCAAATCTTTGTGTTCAGAAAACCAGAGAATCACAAGCGTTTGTCAAGGCAAATTGTATGATAAGAAGTGCTTCACATTGGTCAGCCTGGAAAATGGGGGAGGGGGTGGGAATAATGTACTTAAGGGAAATATTACTTTCACATTCAAAAACGTATTATTGGATCGGAAAGATGAAATGATCACCAAGGGTGTGTTTGAGTAGCTCAATGGGGTCGACTCGGGTAAAGGCAGACAGGTAGCCACGATAGCAGGGCTAATCAAACGCTCAAATGCGGGCCAGCATTATAATCCTCAAATGACCTCCATAGCCACGGTCGTAGCCATTGACATAACGCCCTGTTCGGACCGAGTCTTATTTTTTTAAATCTACTGCATTTACGTGAATCGCAAAGAGTAACAGCGGGCTGGAATTACAGCCTCTTGTAAAGTCGCAAAGAGATAAATAACTAATTCTTAGACTTTTCCGTGATCTTTTCTGCTGTCCGGCTGCAATATTTGTCCGTTTATTGGCATGACCAACACATGCGTGTGATGTATTTCCACCACTGACTACGCTCTACGAGCAGGGTCCGTGGTGGCTGGCCCGGGTGAGCCCCGAGAATGACGTCGGAGCTAATCGAATGGCACAGCTACATGTAGGGCTAACCCATGTCGACTGGGGTGAGCTTATCGAACACACCTGTGAATACATTAAATTTGTACATATGTAAACATTATAGTAAGATTCTTTAGGCTGGTCTGTGTTTATGACATAGTATCGTTTCAAACGAAAGCAGTATAGCATATGATCCTTGTATAGAATGAAAGAGTCAAATTTGGTTACAAAGTTTTGTAAAAGCTCAGTGCTGTATTAGCAACAACAAAAAAACAACACACAAAAGCCAGAACCATGTTGTATCAATTTTTATATTTATATATTTGTCAGTGCTTTGTACACGTGTAAGCAATAGTTACAGAGTTAGGGGTTTCGGTATGTGTAGTGTTCCAAAAAATAAGAAAATTCATGTTTAAAAGAGTAACCTCCCTCCTCCCCCCCCCCCCCCCTTAACAATAGCACAAAAACAAACAGTTCTTTTTAATAATTGATCCATGCGGTACAAGTACCCGGTAGATAATTGAGATATATAGCAAAAATCAATACTTCAAAGTATCTGTCACCTGTAATTTTAAATTAAAAATCATGAATAACATCACCTTTAGCATATTTTACATGTATATTTCGCTTGCTGGAGAAAATATGAATTTAAAATGGTGTAAAAAAAGCTATTTTTGTAGTAGTCTTACCAATGCAGAACAGATACCACTATAGTCCTGTAATATTTTAATAATGTGAAGTAGTCTGCTAATGGATTTAGTTTGAAGGGAAATAAGACATTACTGTCCAATAAAAATCAATGCATTTTTGTTGTATGCATAAACAATGGAAGAATTATGATGTAATAAATGTTGCAGGATGTTAAGAAATAAATGGATTATTCGACGTAGTAACTTTGTCATCTATATCTTCTTGGGCAAACTTGGAATATTAATAGAAATGAAAAGGGGTAGTGCCTCTAGTATTATACAAGGTTCAGCTCCAGCCCCCCCCCCCTCCCCCTCCCCCCCCCCCCCCTCTCAAAAAAAAAGGATCTGCCAGTGCGTATACTCCGTATACCCCGTGTCAACTACATGTAAAACATATTGCTGGGAGCCATCATGTTTTTTTCTACACCGAAGGCCAAAAGATGTTGGTTATCCCACAAGGTTGTGTGAAACAGAATATTGCTGTGTATCTGTGTCTCATATACCCCAAGACAAGAGACACGCATGCCTTCGCTCGTACCCCCCGCCCTGCAAACAGGGCGCTGGGATACTCTGATGAGCTTCACAGAATCTTGTGAAGTAAGTGGCCTATGACCTACATGTATGTATAAAGCATCTGGCTGCAGCTGTTCAAGACCGCAGTTAGACAATGTGCGCAAATGCTATCCGAAAACTCGCCATAGAATTGTGCACATTCCATACCGGATGTGATTTCTGTTTCATTGCGGACCATTTGGACAAAATTTTGAGCGTCGCATAATGTAATCCGACCGTTCGTGATTCGAAACGGAGCCTGAGCGAGTGACAGGAATTGTAAATTTACAACACAGATAAGTTTTACAGAATTTCATACATTACGCTTTTCACAAGAAAAAAACATCTCTAAACTGGAATAAAAGAGTAATGAATTAGACTTAACGGCCGTTTCAAACCTTGCCGGGTCATGACCTTGATGACGCGCAGGTCACTGTCCACGCAAAATCCAACCAATCAGAGCGTGAATTCATCAGAGTATCCCAGCGTCCTGTTTGCAGGGCGGGGGGTACGAGCGAAACACATGCCTTGATGAACAGTGGAACTGTGCCACCAGGCCCCCCCCCCCCCCCAAAGTCATGCCACCGATGCACAAACTGTCATGCAGTAGCCATACAATTTGCCCCTGACAGAGTCCATAAAATCCAGTTTGCTGCTAAATACAATGATGCTCCATCACAATGACTGGAGAGTCTATTGACTTGATGCATACATGTACATGTACATGTACAGACATTCATGACATTATGTACATGTACATGTCAGTAACCCCGCAATGTTTCCAATATGCATTATATTATGAAATAACACCTGTGAAGGGCAACTTTACACATAATTCTATGCAAATAAAATGTAGAGATTGTTTACAGTACCCGCTGCTACATCAGATCCTAGTACACCATATTTTATGAAATTACATCGGCAAAGGGGAAGACAAAATATTAAACCCTCCTCAACAGTTGTAAAGAGATAGTTAAGCCCGGTACATACTTCATGCGAATGCGATTCGAATTAGACGTCACGAAGCAATCGCTGCGAAATGCGAATTTGCTGTGTGAAACTTGCCCTGACGTCACAAATTCGCGTTGAACCGGCCTTTAGGCAACACTTTGGAATGCATTGTCGACATACTCCTAGTCTATGCAATATCCCCTACCACAGCAAGGGTCTATGATATGCGAGCAGATTCGGCGATTAATTATGCAACACAAAGACTATGTCTTGACCTCGAGCTTCTGACCATTCAGCGGGTGCCTTCTATCTGGTCCTCGGAAACCCGTTATTACAAAAACATGGCAGCCAAATTAACCAATCAACAGCTTAGTCCACTGATCGAAACGACATCAGGTTTTCTGAAGTCGACTCCACTTGGCTGGTGCGCGGGGTCGCATAATTTGCATTGCTCACATATCACACGTTGTTACCGGGAGGGCTCCGACGGACAACGGGTGATCAGACTACTTCTGGCTCTCACACAAAGTCGCAACAGGTGCATATTCGGATTAAAATTAACACATTAGCACCTGTACGACATATCATTGAATTACATTGTGTTTATTCACTGATAAACCATTATTAAATATTAAGTCTGTGTGCGTTCAGGCCCTACAAAAAGGATTTAGGCAAAACTAACAAGTCATTCAGCTAAGTTACAACTGTTTCCTGCTGGTGGTGGCCACTCATCTGTTAATAAACTGAGGTAAAAAAAACCTGGTACAGGCTCGGGCAAAAACCCGAATCTAAGCTCTGTATTCAGGTTTGGTCTTAAAGGTATAGTCCATCATTTGTATATTTCGAGAAAAACAAAATTCTAGGATCTCGATTTCAAATCAAAAGTTGCTGAATCATGTTTTGAATTGGGCCTGAATTCAGCGCTCGAGACACGTTCTCACTGAGCCGATTGCAGCTACGCGATGTCGCGCACCAATCCGACAAATTATAGCAACCACGCGCGCGTGTGCGTCGTGTCAACTCTTGCGCGCCCTTCGCCGAATAAAAAAAAACGAACTACAAACGGAAATTTTCAACGGTGCTTCTTAAGACCCACCATTGGAAAGGCCTTCTTTCGTTGATTTCTTCAAAATGACAGCTTGCCAGAAAGAACAATTTCACAGGGAGTTTAGTCCCCTTACTATCTTTCAACCAGTATGTTTTTCAACAATAATTACGTCAGTTAGTTTTTGGATAGCTGCAAATGATGGACTCTGGCTTTAAAAGAGGGTTTCACAGCATGAAGAAGTATGTACTGTTCGTGCGTGGAGTCCATTGCTTAACAAGTTCAGATCCTCTACAATTGTTCGTCATGACTTCGAGTTGTGGGTCTTAACTGAAGCTCGGCCATCAACAGGTCTGTATTGTCTATTACGTAGCATGAACAGAGAAGGCCCAGGTTTCGTTATAACGGCTCCTCCTAAGCACTCATCACCGAGGTAGAACACAGCATACTGTCAACACAAGAAAGGAAAAAACAAATCTTCACTAATGGTGGGATTTAAATCCAGATATTTTTAAATTAGGTTTGAATTCCACTACTCGGTTTCAATTCTGGAAACTGGATATTAGAAACCAACTTTCAAAAAATGTAAACCTGCAATTTTTTTTGTGACGCAGACTATTAAAAGAAAACACTTGGAACGTCTCAAAATTTGCTTCATGGTCCCTGATTGTAACTGCATTCACTCGCTAGTGGCCTCTTGGTACATGTCCATAAGACTTTTAAGAGAGTTTCAACCCATTTGTTTTCAACATTTCAGCTGGTGTGTGTTTTTGTAAAGGTCCAGTGGTCGTGAATCCTGCAAATTAAATACCCAATTTGGCGCGTGTATGGCGCGTACTGGGCGATGTGGCGCAGAACGCAGCGGTGCCAGTGTAGTATGAAATTAGGACTATAAAATACAGACCATTTGTTAGTGCATGCCAAAGTAAGGATTGTTAACGTTCAGTCAATAGAAGGGTAAAAAGGACCAGAATTCATAGGACTCCAAATTTCATGCAACTCTGGAAAAGGGTTTATAGACCAGCCAGCCGATGTTTTATCAACCGTTTAAAGCCAGCCACGTGACGGGCTCTCGACCAATAGGAATGGTTAAACTGTCTTAGGTATTTATGAATACATTTTAGCACACATGACGTACACTTCATAAGGTTACTATAACGCTCATGCATGCCAGGGATCAGGACCAACCTCGTCCCCAGTGCTTACTTTATTTCCAACCGCATTTCCAATAGTAAACCCTGGATAGGAAACTTTCTTCCTGTATCCTGATTGGATACCGCAATTGGCTAGTAATGGATTTTTATCGTGTACTTGGTGTTATTATTCACAACGTGCAGTACGTGTTTTCGCGATCATTCGTTCACGCCTTCTCGAAAATACTAATTTCCTTTCCAATTTGCTCATGTTAATATGAAATATGATACTGCATGTTGTCTCGATAAGATCGTAGCAGTTTGATTTCAAAAATCGTGTTTTCGTAACTGACGCCGTGCTCGCGCTGCTACGAATTGACTCTGTTTTTACCCCAGACACCGCATACAAAAACAAACGCTAATGTGTAACGCATATCCAGGCACCAGACTGTTCCTCATTTGCATACGTGTTCAAAAATCTTGCACATGCAAATGATCCAATACCAGGGTGAGAGAGCAGGTAGTGGTGGGCGCGTACTGCTCGACACCCTGTAGACGAGGTTGGGATCAGGACCAGCTGCATTAGGGGAAACAAACTCCGAGTCATGTCTTGCACCCAGACTACCACAGTGTTAAACTGACCTGTCCTGGAGTAATGGCCCTGAGTGGCTGACTCAACGACACAATGACAGATCCCATACTGCTCATTGTTAGCGTGCAGGGTACTACAGAGAAAAAAAAACAATAGAAAAATACATCATTTTTCAAGCAGAAAAGTACAACGGCAATGCGTGTCATTGGTAACAAGTTCACAACATTTTCAATTTCAAAATTGGATGGCAATTTACTCATTGTCCATGTTGATCATGTCATATTTGTACATGTCATTGTATTGTTCTGTGTGTTTAACTTTTTATTTTACTATTTTAATTGTACGTGATTTAACATTAGTTTATATTTCTATACTGTGTTTTAATTCATGAATTTATATCAATTTTAATAGTTTTCATTGAAATGTTAAAAGAAATGCAATTCAGCCCCCAGCTGTGAGATCTCTTTTTAAATTGATATGAACTAAACCGCTGATAATAATAAAAAAGATAATAAGAATAATACTAACAATTACCGAGAATAGTATCTTAGGAAGACATACCCATAGGGCTGTGCACATTTTTCACACTTTCATGAATCTAACCCCAATTAATACCTTATTCTACCCCCACAAATTTTGGATCATTTATGTTTTGGACCATCAGCAATCGATCTAGCCTATCTGTAGCCCCATAAATGTGGCCAATTTACTGGACTACCTCTGTAAATAAAGGCCACACTTCCACCATGTACAAAAACATGTTGAACTTTGTCAAATTTTGAGTTTCACATTTAGGCTTAGTTTGTAGTTTATTATAAGATTTGAGGCTTTGTAGTTTATTGTTGCTTTAGAAGCATACTCACCCCATAGGCTAATCAGAAAGTGCTGCCTTTTTCAGATGTCTAATTTTCGTGAAATTTCATGTTGAAATTCATGCAAATGTGTGCAAACGAATCTGGAAATTTCGCGAAAAATAGACATCTGAAAAAGGCAGCACTTTCTGATTAGCCTATAAAGAGGGCGAGTATGCTTCTAAAGCAAAAATAAACTACAAACTAAGCCTAAATGTGAAAATCAAAATTTGACAAAGTTCGACATGTTTTTGTACATGGTGGAAGTGTGGCCATTATTTACGGAGGTAGTCCAGTAAATTGGCATTATTTATGGGGCTAGCCTATGGGCAACGGTAGAATTTTGCCTTTACATAGGAGCTGGGGCATTCAGGAGACCTTCATCTACCCGTACCTTGTCTCCTGAAGGTATGACTTATGACAAAAAATGTCTCCTTAAGTACAAAATAGTTGTTTTATACAAGAGACACTGTGCAATAGTCAAGTTGGTAATTTTGGACTGCATGCCTATTTGCTCTGTGCTTGACTTCCCCCATGCACGCTTGGTAAAAACATGTGGCAAACCTAGTAGCCCGCACAACACAAATGGTACAAATTGACCAATTAGAATTTGACTCTCACTCATAAATATGTATGATAATCCCAAGTCAAAGTGGTTCCAGATTATGGAATCAGGTCCCCGTAACAAACATTATATTAGTAACTTCTCAAACAATGAAAAAGAAAGGTTTTGAATGCCATCTCCGGGAAACTTTCAAAATGAAATCCGGGATACATGGAAAACTAAAATGGATTTCATGTTTATGTGCATTTATAATGCACTACAAATGACACTTGCGAAAGTTGCAGTTTACACCGAAAAGCTATAAAGCTCTTTAGACAACTTCGGTGATTACTTCAAGAGTGTACCCTTAAAGTCATGTTAGTCAGTTTTATTTCCGGAACCTCAGTGTGTACCTAGCGGATCCGTATTCTGGAAGCGAAAGTGGCAGTCCATCATTTGTTCCTGCAGGAGTTGCCTGGGCGCTTCCCGTATCCAGTGAACTGGACCTGTCAACATTGTCTCACAGTACAGAGCTGGGTGGTTGGTGTTTGGGACCTTCAGAAAATAATTGTAAAATTATTTCAATTCTAATGAAACAACCAGATAAAATGTACAGGCATTTTTTTAATCTTTTTTTTTTTTTGAGGTGAAACTTGAAAATAGCACGGGGAATGCATCCTTAAATTCATGATCACGAAAAATCTCAGAACACTATTCTAAGCAGTTGCAGATTACAAACTGCAAATTAACATGGAATAAAAATGCAGTAAGGCCCTGTCACACTGTTGCGAATAGAGCTAACGTGTGCCCGACGTTTTTGGAAATTTCGGTGTAGGTTTGTGTAAGTTGTCATTCGTTCATGACACGTTTGGCATAAGTTGTATTTGTTAGCGGTTCGTAGGGGTTTGCAAAGGTGCGCTGGGGTCTAGGACAAAATTTTGAACATGTTCAAAATTTTGAGAGAACGACAATGTAGTGATCAATAAACCATGTATACGTTGAGCATTCGCTGTGTGAACGTTTCGCGCATTGGGTGTAGGTTGCTTCTTTGCCAGCTGTTCAAATATATACGTCCAACCCAAGGATCTTTGTCATATAGCGAATGCCCAACACATACACATAGAGTTTGTCTAACGAATGTGACGACGGGGACTTGGAGAGCGTATTTATGGGTCAGTGGAGACACGTCACGTGACCGGTCGCAGCACGCTTGGCATACGTTGGCCATTCGTTGCGCACGTTCAGCATTCGTTGGATGGACACTATACATGTGCTGTCATTCGTTACTATGGACGCTAGTTATACGCTCAGCATTCTTTCTCATTTGTCTTATATGTCAGAAGTTTACTAAACAAACAGATTTTGGCCGAGCATTTGAACATATCTGGACTTTGCCAAATTTCCAGAAAAAAATTCTGTACGTTAGGCATGAGTTAGCTCTATTCACTATTATACAACACCTGAATAAATCCCCGTCATCTGATTGGTGGATCATTGATCACATGTTATTGAATTATTCGTCCCAACGCACGGCGCGCGCGCGGCACGCAGTGCACAGTGCAATGGAAGTTCCAAGGCACGGTGAACACACAATGTAGAACTTCCATTGCACAATGTCATCGCTGCTGGCGGTGGCGCTGTTGTAAATCGAGATTACTTGAATATGATGGTTCTCCACCCGTTGAACAGTTTGCATAAATTAAATATGATGAACTTCCTTGTCAAACTTTCAAACAGTTTTTTAACCTGAATAAATTGGCTATTAAAAGTCAACCAATCAGATGACAAGGATTTACAATGTATTCAGGTGTTATATAAAACAAATAATGAATATTTCACGTTCGTGCAATGGAAAGAATAATTTCATTCGGTGACAGATGAAATGTTCCATTCCACTCGGCCACCTCATGAAATTATTCCTACCATTGCACTCACAAACATTCATTATTTGTATACTATGTGACAGGTGCGTAAGGATCAATTGTACATAACTGTTTCATGTCAACAGTACAACAGCAAAGTCACTCACCACAATGACCTCATTCGAGGTGGGGTGTTTATCGACGACGTACCATTTCTCCTTCATTCCGCTTATTTTTGCTTTCTGTCCAACAGTATAAATAAAATAACCTAAAAGACACAAAAACATGCAAAGGAATGACAAAAAGAATGCAAAGGAATAAAACTTGATGATGCTTAAATGTTTTTATTTTGTACCACACAAATACTTCCTGCACCCCCGACATATTCGGATTTCCATGAATGCTCGTTATTCTTTTGGGATTTTTTTGCTCCATGTTCCAAAAATTCAAACTCGAAACACGTACATAAAAAATATATTAAAACTACCAAGTCCTTAAAGGTAGGGTAGATCATTTGTCATTTGTGCATTTTTCCGTTTGAAGCAACAAAAGTGCTCAAAATCTAAAGACGATGCTTAACAACTAAGGCCAAGTTCGGGCAAGGACCATTAGTCGACTAGTGGTTGATTTGTGACGTACCTTTACGCCTGCGCACTGATAGCAACGTGCGAACGTCTCTAGTCAAACGCTGGTCAAAATGTCATCGCAAAACTTCTGGATCCTGGCTCCCTGCTAGCGTTATGAATGCCCGCGGCTATTGGTTACCAGTGATGCAACCAACACCAGTAGGCTGGTTCCAAATAGTCGACTAGCGTAGTCAACCACCGTCGACTAGACAGAGTTCGGGCAAACGTTAGTTAACCATTGGTCAACTATAGTCCTTGTGCGAACTTAGCCTAACCTGATGAAGTGCTGCATTCTCCAAAAAATCAATATTCTAGGATCTCTATTTCAATTCAAAAGTTGCTGAAGTATATTTTGAATTGCGCCCAAAATCAGCATCCTGAACACTTGTCAGCACTGAACCTACAAATAACAGCAACTGTGCACTTGTGTGTCGTGTCAACGCTTGCGCGCACCCATTCACGGATTCGCTCAATGACAGACCAACTACTAACGGAAATTTCCACAAATGCATCACTTGACTCATCTCTAGAAATGAGCTTCTGTTACTGTTTTCTTCAAAATGACAGCATGCCAGAAGGAATCATTTGACAGGGAGTTTTACAGTGTCATCTTTAAAGCTATAGTCCATCATTTGCAGCCATCCAAAAAGTAACTGGCGTAATTACTGTTGAAAAACAAACTTGGTTGAAAGATAGTAAGGGGACTAAACTCCCTGTGAAATTATTCTTTCTGGGAAGCTGTCATTTTGAAGTAATCAACGAAAGAAGGCATTTCCAACGGTGATTCTTAAGAAGCACCGTAGGAAAATTTAAATTAGTAGTTTGTTTTGTTATTCAGCGCAGCGTGCACAAGTATTGGAACGACGCACACGCGCGCGCGGTTGTTATAATTCGTCGGATCGGTGCGCGACGCCGCGTATAGCTGCAATTCAAAACAATTCAAAACATGATTCGGTAACTTTTGATTTGAAATTGAGATCTTAGAATGCTGTTTTTCTCGGAATGTACAGCTGAAGCTTAGCTGAAACTTCATCAAGTTAGTTGCTCAGTATCCTTCATTAGATTTTGAACTCTTTTGTTGCTTCAAACGAACAAAATGCACAAATTACAAATGATGGACTGTAGCTTTAAACCAAGTAACGTTTTTCAACAATAATTTAGTTCGTTACCTTTTGCCACTTGAAGCAGCCATTATTGCTGACAAAACATAGTATCGAATGCGCGTGCCACGCAACCATTAGGGCCCTGTTCACTGGTTAACAAACCATGAGTATTCTACTCTCCTGACTGAGTGAGAACCAGCAAATTTTTGTTCAAATGTCTGGATGAGGACAATATCAAAAATAACAATGTCCTCATCCGGGTACAATGTACTTGTACATTATATTGTAGTCATCCGGGTACTTTGTACAAAAGCATATAAAACACTGATTTATTTTTACCTCAGAAGTCTTGATATAAATAATTATACAACACCTGAATAAATCCCCGTCATCTGATTGGTGGATCGTTGATCACGTCATTGAATTATTCGTACCAACGCGCGGCGCGCGCGTGGCGCGCAGCGCACAGTGCAATGGAAGTACTATTGCACTGTGATTAGAAGTACCATTGCTCTGTCACTGCACATGTTGCCGAAGGTGGCACTGTTGTGTTTAAATTGGCAATAAAAGTTCTGAATTTATTGAACTGTTTAAGTTCTAAACTTATGGAAAAGTTTTAAATTGAGATATGAATATGATAGTTCTCAACCTGTTGAACAGTTTGCATACACATGTAAATTAAATATGATAACTCCGAACTTATCAAACTTGTAAACAATTTTTAACTTGAATAAATTGGCTATTAAAAGTCATCCAATCAGATGACGAGGATTTATTCAGTTGTTATATAAAACAAATAATGAATGTTTCACGTTCGTGCAATAGAAAGAATAATTTCATTCGGTGACAAATGAAATGTTCCATTCAACGAGGCGAAGCCTCACCTCATGAAATTATTCTTACCATTGCACTCACAAACATTCATTGTTTGTATAATATTTTTTTTTTATCTCACCTTCGTGTGTCCCAACCACCTTGTTGTCTTCCAGAGAAACAAAGTTACCCGGTGTGGGCTCGAGATACTGATAAAAACAATCAATTGCAAAATAGCATTTAAGTGAATATTATATAACCAACATACAGATCCTTGTCATTTGATTGGTGGAACTCACATCACATGACATTTGTTATTACTCCCATTCAGTGTGAGCGTTCAGCGTTGCGCGTAGCGCGTATTGTTCCAAAGAGCCAGCGCTACAGAGTTGAATTCAAACATTTTCGTAATTACTCCCATTTCACTCTGAACCACTCAATATTTGTAAACTGTAACTTCATCATTTGCCAACAACTTGGCTTAATGTCTCAATGAGTTTCTGAAATCCCACATGTAAGTTAGATGTAAGTATCTAGCATCTGTGTGCATGTGAGAGCTGTTTAACCACTTCGCGCCAGCATTATTTTTGCCAAACAATTTTGATTTTGGCAAAAGGCAAAATTTTCCAGCCAACTTCTGATGTACAGCCAATCACCACAAATACTGATTCGCAAGAGTCATTTCAACAGTATTTGTACGATATTTCTTGCCGATACCTCATAATTTTAGGTTTCAATACTCGGGCAATTCACTGGAGCGTAAATTGAACAACAATATGCCGTGCACAACGACCGATTCAAGATCAACACACGGTCTGCCTCCACAGACTTCACAGACTTTGTGTTTATGTACAAAGGACACGAGGGATTAGCATGTTTAGATGTCACCCGGAGGCGAGTCCAGGCAATCTTGACGTCTTAACCCGTCAGCCGTGCCTGTGTATAAAAACAGCCAGTGCATGTCATCACGTCCCCCAACGCCAACTGGTTTAATAACAAATCAAGGTATCACTTGCAAATTCTCAAGTATACAAACAGGATGAGTCAGAGATCATCATTGGCAAGTTTGTAGGCTACGGTTGTTTAATACCATGACAGTCAATACAAAATGGATACGTCAACATTGTAAACAGCATACCTCTTTGATGAAGGGCTTGAATTTCCTACTTCCAATGAAACAGATTCCCATACTCTGCACGAACAAAAAACAATACTGCTCATTAAAAAAAGAAAAACACTGCATTTGAACAGGGACAATAGTGATAAGGATTATAGGATGGACAATTTCACGAGAAAATGGACATGGCTCAAAAGTTGAATTTTTTTTATGAAATCTTAAAAACTGCAGGCATCCCAACTTCAAATGTGGTATCATATTAACCCTGCTATGCCCAGTGCAGTTGGCAGAGAATTATCAGACCTTTCAAAACATTTTAAATTTGCCTGACTAAAAGGGTTTTGAAAGGTGAAATAGTGCTGGAACTTTGAAACTTTTCGAAAGGTTTCGGAAGGTGAAGCAACTCTGTGGGCAAATTCAGTAAGTTGCCTTTCAATACCTTTCAAAAGGAATTGAAAGGTGTGGTAGTGCAGTAACAATAAATTCTGGAGGGTTTTAAAAGGTCCTGCATTTTTTCCCTCCAATTTGCCAAAACCCAGATTTTGAGGTGTTTAAAATGAATGGTCTAACTACAGGAGAGTTAAAGGGAATGAGACCTTTCAATTGAGTGGTGGCCCAGAGAGATGGAATAAGGTGAAGTGTATGTTTTGTTCAAAATGATGCTTTTTGGGGGCTAAAATAAAAAAAAAAATAATAATAATAATTTGGAAGGCTAATCATCCTGACTCGCAGCTAAGGAGGCGGGTACAACGTGGTCAAGCTGAAGGCATGTAAAGGCCCCTTTGGCAGCTGCTTTATGACCCATGTATGACCACGGAGCACAGCCGGAGATCAAAAGTGTTGGATTTGTTTTAGAGGGAGAAAAACCCTCGCGGCACAGAAGAGAATGAACGCACAACTCTACTCAAATATGGCCCGAGCCAGGAATCGAACCTGGGCCACAGTGGTGAGAGGCAAGCACTCTACACACTAGCCATCCATTATGGATTTTACAATGTACGGAAATGTATAGTCATTTTGGCACCTTAATTTTACTCGCAAAATGCAAGTTTGATTGTGAATTTTTTGTTTTTAAAGGGAAAATACAACATTTGCAAACATCAAAAAATAAAACTACCAAATCATTTTGAAATACCTTGCTGGCCTGTTAGTGAATGACAGTGTAAAGCATCCTGTAAAATCATGGCACCTGTTATTTTCAATAAAAGTGGTATTTTTGTATCAATTTCCAACGCTGGTCGGCCGACCAGCGTTGGAAAAAAACTGGCTTTTTTTCAAATACTGGCCCCAATTGACCATCGCACTTGTTTGCAATCGATTACACACCTATGAACGGGTACAAGCCAGCTAGACTGGTTCCCTGACCTTACAATTCCCCAATATATGTAAAGTGCTCTGTTTCTTCTTATATGGAGTCAGGGAACCAGACTACAGGAAAATGATTGTTTTTCTTGGTTTTTATAGCATTTTCGAACCCAAAACCTCAAAAAAGTCAGTGTAACTATATTTGCTATATATTTCCAACCCCCCAATTCCATCCATTTCTGAAAATTACAGCAAAAGCAAATGATGTATATTCCCTTTAAGGCTGAGAGAAAAGCTCATTATTCTTATCAGTAATGACTGTCCGCTGACTCAGCTGAGCTTCCGATTAAATTTGGTCTTTAGTTTAACCGGCAAGCCCTGGAATCTCATTTGCATGGTGTAACGATGGGCCTTTGTTATTCTAATTCTAATTTCTTTGCTAAATTTAATAAAAACATCACACGAGCGGGGATTGTGGCATTAACTTGGTCAGGCATTAGTACACATCGGTCGAGAAAGTTCACGAACTGCAGGCCCTTGGCAACGCCAGAATTCAGCATACATTCGCTGACAGTCAGCGAACTTTTTATTGATAAGAACCCTTTATGCAAAAGTGTTTTTTTACTTAAGTTTCTTATACGTGTGTGATTTGCATGTAACAAGAGTTATTTATAAGTTTCTTACACGTGTATGATTTAGGCCTACAGGTAACAAGAGTTAGGAATGTCTCCCGCTAGCTAGAGATTTTATAATTTGGAAGACCCCATCATATCGTAACATGAGTAACCACCAAATTACCAGGATGATACTCAACATATGACTCAATGTCACTCACAATCCCCAAACTCACCTCCTTCCGTTTGACAATCCGCTCCAGCCCCGCCCCCCTCGCAATCTCCCTGACAACACCCTTGGTCAAGTCACCAATCGGAAACAGCGTCCTCTGCAATGCATGCTGGGACATTTGCGAGAGGAAGAATGTCTGGTCTTTGGTGGAGTCCACCGCTTGTAGCAACTTTACTGCTTCATGTGATTACAAATGTGACAGAAAGAATCGATAATGTCGGTGAGTTTTGAGCCTTGAATCGAATTCTGACAAAGCCAATCAAAATGAGTCCCACACCTTGGCCCAATTTCATAGCGCTGCTTAACAGCTACCTTTGTGCTTACCGAGCCTCCATCTATTTCGTAGGGACCGTTAAGCAGTAAGCACAGCAAAAGCACGCTTAACAGCGGAAGACAACTTTGCTTAAATCAGTGATTTAACAATAGAAATCTCCATGCACGTGCAACTGTTTGTTAGCAAATTAAGGGCGTGATATAGTGCTTAATACAGCAGCATGATTTTCTGGTATCTAGTAAGCACAACTTCTCTGCTGACTGTTAAGCAGTGCTATGCAATTGGGCCCTTGTCTGAGCTACGTTTGGGCAATGGCCTTCTTTTTATAAATCTTTCACGATGGCAAACAGTAAGAACAGCCCACATTATACATGTATACCAATTACATCAGCATATCTAATAAAGGTAGGTTTAATCATTTGTCATTTGTGAATTTTTTTTGGTTTGAAGCAACAAAAGTGCTCAAAATCTAAAGACGGGTGCTTAACAACTAACCTAATGAAGGTTTAGTTCTGTGAATATATTCCGAGAAAACAACATTCTAGGATCTCGGGTTCAATTCAAAGTTGCCGAGTCATGTTTTGTCTTGCACCTGAAATCAGCGTCCGGGACACGTTCTCATTCAGCCGATTGTAGCTACACAATGTCACGCACTGAACTGACGACTCAGAGCAACTGTGCACGGTTCTATTGCGTCAATGCTTGCATGCACCTGGTCACAGATTCGCCGAATATTAAACGAACTACCAAAATAAAATGCCTTTATCTACGGAGCGGAAATTTACTTTTTTCACTGCAAGTGGAAATAATGTGAAAAAAATTGTCCTGAAGACTCAAGTCATCAAATTGCTATAATGCATACAAAATCCAGGGTTGTGAGTGACCACCGATAATAAAATAGCTGAAAATAGCTGAAAAAAGGTGTAAAAAAAGCTGAACTTTGGAAGTCTCCTACATATTTGTACACAGCAAGTGAGGGCAACAAGCTGAAATCCCCCCCCCCCCAAAAAAAGCTGAAATCAACTTTTAAAGCTGAGATTTCACAATTGTGAAACCTATATGTTGCCTCCCAGAACATAAACTGCTCTTGTACATCCTCCAATTCAATAGATTTACCAAAAGTGACATCCCTGTGTTTTGCGCACAGCTTTCCAATACATGTATCTGCCACTGAGCTGAAACTTCATCAGGTTAGGTTTTGAACATTCTTCTTTGGATATTGAGATATGGTGTTATCTAACTATAATTCCGGAAATCTCTGTCTGTCTGTCTGTGTGTCTGTCTGTATTTCGATTATCTCAAGAACCGGGCACCGTATGAAGTTGAAAATCGGTGGGTGTATTGCTCGGGACCACAGAATATGCAGTGCCAAGTTTGAAGTGGTTTGGACGAGCGGTTCTTGAAAAAGCTGCAAAAAAAGCAGCATTTTCTGAGGCAAACGTGGCAGTGTATACATGTAGCTTAGAAATAGAACATAACACCAAACACTGCCGTTCTTTTCAATTGTTTACGTCATGTACATGTAAAGCTAAAAAGCGTGCGTGCTAAATAATGACACAACCATAGGACGCAACACCACGCGTGCGTATGGCGCCACTGAGTTGTGTGATGTCACAATTGTGTGCAAAGAGCTAGCTGACCTTGGGGGCTATTCCATTTTCAACAATGGTCACTTCACTGTGGGGGGGGGGGGTTATTCCATTACCAACAATGGAATAAACAATAGCACAGTTTTTTTCTACGTTTTCTTACTATAATTCCGTCCACATTAAAAAATGTGCGTTCAACCTGTGAGTGTACATGTACGTAAGCGTTCAACCTGTGAAAAAAACACCATTGAATCGCGTGCGCTGTTTGCACAAGAAGTTCTCAAAAACGCTGCAAGCAATACCAGCGGCCAAGCAATTTGCCCTTCCCGAATATGCACATTTTAGACGGGCACTGCACTAGTTATTGGAAATGAGCAAAACACATGAAAAGCAAATGATCCTACGCGTACATGTACATGTACAGTATAATATTATGCCTTCAATGATGGTCAAATCGAGACAATTCTTATAGGAAACAGCATCAATTACGTTGTGGCTTGGACTGCCAGTCACGATCCAGTATCGTCTCTCCGACATCGGTCCTTGCGTAGTGGCCGGTGGCCAAAGCATCAGCACCGAGTACGTCACGGCTGTGGCGCAACAGCCGATCAAACTTGATGTGCTTGTTGCACAGGATGTCTGGGTTGGGTGTAATGCCTCCCTGGTACTGCTTCAGCAATTCACTGCATCCAAATGATCCAAAAATTGTTCTTTAGGCCAAAAAACAAAAGTCTCCGGTTTCTGGTATGCGCGCGCATCGCCGTAGCCATGCGCGTCGGAAAAATGAGAAAGTTTTTTTTTCAATGAAAGAAGATGTCTCAAAACCGCCAAACTCACTGGTTTGACTGGAATCCTGCTGCTGCACAATTTTAACGGGTTTTTAGATGGGGTTATGATCGAGAATAAGCTTTATGTGGCCTCTCTGGTCTCCCATAGTATTTGCACTAAGTTTAGTCGGGCACCATTTGCAGTCATCAGCCGACATTTGAAGCAAAAAAAACAGGTAAAAAAAAAAAAAAAGCCGCGTCGCCGCACCACTTTTTGGGCAAGCTCCATACCAGAAACCGGAGACTTTTTTTTTTTGGCCTTAATGTTGAAAATACTTTCAGGTGCACTTTTATCCGAATATCACCAAAATTAAGTTTTTACAGCCATTTCGCAAAGGTCTTGGTCACTCAATATCCAAATAATGTTTTTTATGGAGGAAAAACATTGAAAATCCCATTTTCGCTGGCATGACACTGCAGCAATTTTTAGCAGTGAAAAAAGCCAGCGGAATTTTCAGCAAAAATGTCAATATAAGACAACATAAAAAGCTGTGTTGAGCATAAATTATGATTCCAACATAAAAATATTGAAGGGATCAATACTTGAGACCAAGGTATATCTTGGGGATGTACAAATTATTTCAAAAAGAGAAAATTGCAAAGGAATAAGAAAAATCCAAGACAAAATCGTAGTTCACTTCTTGTTGACTGTTACGTAGATCGTTGGTTGAGAAATCCACCAGAAACTGTCACATTGGGTACCACACAGCATATTTTAAGTCTTTTGATCTTCATAATATTCTGATTCCTTGCGTTCCTTCATCCATTCTGTAATTTATTAGATGGTGTCCAAATATCAGTGACTCGGATTGACTCGAGCATAAATTTGACTCGACTCAATCACACATTGTGACTCGACTCAACTTCACTCAACCTTCTGGATCTAATGACTCGACTTGACTCAAGTCACTCCCTTAACCCTGCGCAGCGTTTACAAAAAAACTTTGCAACAACTCGTCACCTGCTGCCTTTGGGCAGCAGGTACTTTCCCGCACTACGCAAGACCCTATTCATAGCAATACAACAAAAAGCTACGTGCCAGACAGTGTCCAGACAGTTGCCAGACAGTGCGCTGGAAAGATAATTGACTTGCGGCTGTGGTATGCAGTTATGAAGGGAGATGACTGTGTCAAGTTACAGGTCTTTGTTGATGTTTCAATGAGACTTGGCAGGAGGCCTGGTCGAAAGTTTGTTGACACGGCCTGGGTGCAGCCCTGGCTGCAAAATTGATTAAACTAGCTGATTTGGCAAGGGTTGAATGAGGATTAGATGGACATGATAGGAGGTGAACGTTATTGGCCCTGAATTTTTTTTTTATTCAAAACATTTGGTTACCTGGGGCCCAAAGGGCAGCAGGTCACTCTGCGCAGGGTTAAAATGAATTGACTCGATTCACAAAATTCAGTGACTCTGTTACAACTCTGTTTGACAGGTACATTTAACAATGTAGTCAGGGATCATACCTGAAGACATCATGCCAATATTCCTTGACAAAGTTGACCTGATGGAAGGGGATCTGCAGTTTCTGGCAAACATACTGGGCATCTTCCTCATCCTGATCTGCTGTACAGACTCCCGTCTCATCCAATGCATCCCAGTTGCGCATGAAGAGCCCCGTCACTCTGTATCCTAGGGCAAACGGCAAAGATTACATAGCTTTACACAGAGTCCGTGTACTGCCCAAAACTGCCCTGCTTTTCACTCCCACATGTACTGCCCTAGTCCGAAAATTTGGGACTCTCAATACTGTCTATGAGAGTCCCAAAACTTAAGGTATTGAAAACATGCAAAACAAGAAAATAGACTGGCACCTAAAACAACCAGTCCAACACAACTTCAGTATTGCATCAATCAACCATGCCAAAAGAGTTTAAGAAACATGTGGCATGAAGCGGGAACTAGTCTCAATTTACTACTCATTTCTCCATAGTCAAGCCACCAGACTATTGACACTGAATGAAGAGGTCAGTCTTTTCAAATAGTTGGACCATGGTTGAACATATGTACCAGTCTAGTATTTAGCCCCATTTTGAAATCAGTTGACTTCCCTCTCATGTGTAAAATATTGAAGAAATGTCTCCTTTAAAAATTGAATTTGGTTTGCAAACTTGGTTGGTGAAATACTGAGGAAATTGTTTTTGCCCCAGTGGAATTTTTTGAGAAATTTGCTGGCTAAACTGTGAGTAAAGTGGGCCTGACTTAGTTTTGCACGTTTCAGAGCACTCGAGAGCCCTGTCTGGTACTGCCCTACACATTCTGCCCCAAAACTACCATTATGGCATGTATGGATTCTTCAAGGAACACGTATAAACTGCATTCACCCCGATCGCTACGTCCCGTGGCCATGGGCGTCGCCAGGATTTTTTCTAGAGGGGGGCAAACAAAATTTTGCCAAAAAATGCTTGTATTTCTCAACACATTTTCGATTTATCAGTTTTAGAGGGGAGCAGGGACATTTTGCCCCCCCCCCCCCCCCCCCCCCCAACTCATGAAATTTACACCACTTTGTCTTCGCGCCTCTTTTTCTTTTTCTTTTTTTCTTTTCTTTTTCTTCCTTTTTTTTTTTTTTTTTTTTTTTTTGCTTTTCCAGGGGGGGGGGGCAAGTGCCCCCCCTTGCCCCCCCCTCGCGACGCCCATGCCCGTGGCTTTTGTTACAGCAGTCAACACTCTGGTTCCCTGACCTACTTTGTAATGTATTCAATGTCAAGATCTTTGGCAGTTGGAACAATTGCATGGTTCTCAGACTTTATTCTTTTAAAAATAAATCCTCTAAAGCCACGGATTAGGCCTACTAAGAAAAAATATCAAATATAGGCCAACTTATCAGAGAAGAATTTGATTAAAAACATGAAAGTAAAGAACACCATTGGCTTTGGAAGACTCCAAAGTTCCCTAAAATCATAAACCATGTAATCCCCATTTTAAAACAAGTCCATTTTTTTATCTTAAAAATGCATCACAATTGCCAAATTTGGTACCATCAGACATGTCAGAAAGCCACATTTATTTTCTATCCAAATCTTACAATAAAAACTACATAAACCGAACTCTCGCGCGAACAACGAATAAAAACGAGAACACGGATCAAGTGTTGAAAAAAATAAAATGGCCACTTCCACGAAAAAAATTCTGTCGCAAAATAGAATTTCACCGATCAAATTTTCCTTCAAATTGCACGTAAATTGCATCAAAATGAATAGCATCAATTAAACAAGCAAGTTTTCCTCTTCATTTTGGTGAGTTTTCTGTGACTTTCAGGCAGTAGGCTATTTATACTAGAAATCAAGGATTTAAAAAGACAATTTTAGTGTGGTGTCTGATATAACATTAACATTGTATAAAGGCAAAAAATGGCCCTACCGCTGCACTCGCTAGCGCAGCTCCTTATGCTCGGACTAGCCACTTTATCTATACTTACCTTTGCTTTTCAACAGCAAAGCAGCAACACTACTGTCAACACCACCAGATATTGCACATACTATGTGTTTAAAACGAGCTATAGGCATACTTAATATCTTACATTTCAGTTAATTTGAAAAACACTAATAACACTCCCGATCCCGTAATACACATGCTTTGAGCGCATACATATAATTAAGGTTATTGTGGAAGTTGTGTTTATATATCAACGTTCAACGTGTTTCAATGTCGATTGGTGGCGCTATGCATACCGACCGCGGCCGCGGTGGTGTGCGCCATGGTGTGCGCCCATTGAGCGATTTTCAAATTATATGTGCGATGTTTTTGACGATATATACATGTATGTGCGATGTTTTCAAGTATGTTCGATTTTTTGCATTAAATGTGCGATGTTTTTCGATACAATTGTGTGTGTTGTTTTACAATATATTTGCGATATTCTCAAATATGTGAGCAATGTTTTATACACATATGTTTGACATTTCGAGCTCATTCGATGTTTCATCGGTATGTTTGCATTCGATCTTTTGCAATATGCATTTGATGTTTCCCTTTTCATTCGATGTTTCGTTAAGAGTCAAAGTCTGGTTACTAGACCGCGAAAGTCTGACTTTTTTGCCTAAAGTCAATGTATGAGACGTCAGGGGATCGCGTAAAGTGATTAGAGCCAGACCTAAACGGTAAAAACCGGAATTGTGGGTAATTCTTTAAGCATACGCAATGCGTTCATACCCCAGCTGTGCCTGTACTACCCCTAGTGTTATGTGCATCATCTATGCATTGAGGAGTGCATGACACATGGTCTGAGCTCTAAGGCCGAGGTGCACCTGTCCCGTTTAATGATCCAGTTACCTGATAATTTGTTTGAAAAATTCCAGATATAAACTTGGGCAAAATTAGATGTTTATGAAAAAAATCAAATTGTAAGGGGTTAACCTTGCATTTTTTAAGCAAAATCGGGGAAAATCAGATGTTTCTGGAAAATTGCAGATTGTATGGGGTTAGATGTTTATGAAACATTTCAAATTGTAAGGGGTGAACATTGCATATTTTATCGAAATTGGGCAAAATCAGATGTTTCCGAAAAATTTCAGATGTAAGGGATTATCCTTGCTTTTTTATTGAAATTTGGCAAAGTTAGATGTTTATGAAAAATTTCAAATTATAAGGGGTTAACCTTGCATTTTTTAAGCGAAATTGGGGAAAAAATCTGATGTTTCTGGAAAATTGCAGATTGTAAGGGGTTAACCTTGCTTTTTCAATACGATTGGGAAAAATTAGATGTTCATGAAAAAAATTCAAATTGTAAGGGGTTAACCCTGCATTTTTTTTTAGCAAACTTTAAATAGGACACAATCAGATGATTCTGGAAAATTGCAGATTGTTAGGCTTAACCTTGTATTTCTAGCAAAATTGGGCAAAAAGAAATGTTTGTGAAACATTTTAAATTGTAAGAGGTGTACCTTGTATATTTAGTAAAATTTGGCAAAATCAGATTTGTATGAAAAATCTAAAATGGTAAGGGGTTAACCTTGCTTTTTTAGAAAAATTTGGAACATATTTTACTAAAATTGGGCAAAATCAGACGCTTCTAAAAAATCCAGATGTAAAGTTTCCGCAAAAACAGCTGTTGAAAAAGAGCCCAATGTTGAACTTTACTGAGTCTGAGGTCTATCGAGGGGACGATCCTTATTTCAACTCCCGGAGATTTGCTGACAGTCTCTATTTTTCTTTTTAAGAAAGTCGAAATAGCTGAAGAGGGAGGTGAGAATCTATATGTGCCCAGATACAAAGAGTAGAAACCTACGCGACGGTCTGCCTTTTGAAAATACACAATTGCGGTGTTCATTGTTGCGTAATGATCCGCCTAGCACACGACTGTTTTGCACATTAGGCTGTGTTATGCAGCTTCCTAACAAACCAAACACACTGGGCTTATTATATCGACTTGTTTTTACCCATTAAAGTAAAGCAAATGGACCCAGTAATCTTTCTGGCGCGTTTGCTTACCTATAAAGACAACTTTTCTCAGTTTAAGGAAAATTCTAAGGTAACGAAATGGCCGAGTGGTTACGATTCGTCGTCCACGGTTAGTGGGGTCCCGGGTTCGAATCCCGCTGGTGTCTTTTTGGTTTTTAACGTATGAGTTCAATTATTCACTATAAGAGATTTAATTTCCCGTCGTAAAGTACCAACAGTACCTTAGCTTAATCGGTAAGCACTGCTGCTGGTACTGTCCGCGAGTTCCAGGTTGGCGCCTTCGTACAGGTTCAGGGCATGTGGTCCACTCGGAGGATCAGGGCTTAGGGGCCGCCCTGTTCCTCCCTTAGCTCTTTGCTTTTACATGGTGCCTGGCCCTCCGGGGTTATATGGATGGATAGGGAAGGAAGTGTGTATTGGTCGGGGACGCCGAGACCCCGGAAGAGAACTAAGGGATCGGCTGGGGCATTGTTATGGCTCAGACCGATCCCTGAAAGCTTGACTAGCACATAACTTTTTGATTTTTTTTACCCTCTATCTTTTATACTTTGGTTTAGTTTGATATCTACAGCTGCTCGGCAGGTCTACGGGTAGTATTAAAGTTGAAACAAAGGTGTATGTCATAAATCAATGAATATTTCATAATTGACTATAATCAAAACGGAGTTTCGTTTGATCAATTTGACTATCATTATATAATGACGCAATTGCCAACTTGACGTAAGAAACGCCATAAATTATACCGGGAAAGAATAAAGATGAACATTGTAATATAAATATATTTATACATCTTTCAAATAACGTGTCTTTAATTGTGAGCATTCCAAACAATACAGTAATTCGCAATAGTAATAGAATGGTATATGATAGCACGATCAATGCGTCTCTATTAAATTAGAAAAAATATATAATTTAGGCCCCTAGGGGTGAAATATTCTTTGATTGACTATGAGCATTCCATACGAATGAGTTAATTCGCAAAATATAGCAACAACAAAAGAGAAAGGAAAAAGAGAAAATTCCTTTACCCTAAAAACTGGAAAAATAATTTGTTTTAAAAAAGTCAAATGGGAAACTTCATGTATTGATTTAACAGTTTGCAAGGGGTTAACCTTACATTTTAGCAAAATTGGGAAAAATCAGATATTTCTGGAAAATTGCAGCTTGTAAGGGGTTAACCTTGCATTTTTAGTAATATGAAGATGTTTATGAAACATTTCAAATTGTAAGGGGTGAACCTTGCATTTTTTAGTGATATTTGACAAAATAAGATGTGTATGAAAAATTTCAAATTGTAAGGGGTTAACCTTTCTGTTTTAGAAAAATTGGGAAAATTTTAATGTTTATGAAAAATTTCAAATTGTCAGTGGTTAACCTTGCATTTTTAGCAAAACTGGGCAATATCAGGTGTTTATGGAAAATTTCAGATGGTAAGGGGTGAACCTTGTATTTTTAGCGAAATTGGGCAAAATCAGATCTTTCTGGAAAATTTCAGATTGTAAGGGGTTAACCTTGCTTTTTTAGTGATATTTGACAAAATAAGATGTGAATGAAAAATTTCAAATTGTAAGGTGTTAACCTTGCTTTTTTAGTAAAATTGGGAAAATTTTAATGTTTATGAAAAATTTCAAATTGTCAGTGGTTAACCTTGCATTTTTAGCAAAAAAAAGGCCAAAATCAGGTGTTTATGGAAAATTTCAGATTATAAGGGGTTAACTTTGCAGTTTTAGCATAACTGGGCAATATCAGATTTATATGAAAAATCTCAAATGGTAAGAAGTGAACCTTGTATTTTTAGCGAAATTGGACAAAATTAGATCTTTCTGGAAAATTTCAGATTGTAAGGGGTTAACCTTGCTTTTTTAGTGATATTTGACAAAATAAGATGTGAATGAAAAATTACAAATTGTAAGGTGTTAACCTTGCTTTTTTAGTAAAATTGGGAAAATTTAAATGTTTATGAAAAATTTCAAATTGTCAGTGGTTAACCTTGCATTTTTAGCAAAATCGGGCAAAATCAGGTGTTTATGGAAAATTTCAGATTATAAGGGGTTAACTTTGCAGTTTTAGCAAAATTGGGCAAATCAGATTTGTATGAAAAATCAAAAATTGTAAGGGGTTAACCTTGCCAAATTAGGGCAAAATCAGATGTTCTTTGAAAATTGCAGATTGAAAGAGGTTAACCTTGCTTTTTTAAGCGAAATTGGGAAAAATCAGATGTTTCTTGAAAATTGCAGATTGTAAGGGGTTAACTTGGCATTTTTAGCATAACTGGGCAATATCAGATTTATATGAAAAATCTCAAATGGTAAGGGGTGAACCTTGTATTTTTAGCGAAATTGGGCAAAATCAGATCTTTCTGGAAAATTTCAGATTGTAAGGGGTTAACCTTGCTTTTTTAGTGATATTTGACAAAATAAGATGTGAATGAAAAATTTCAAATTGTAAGGGTTAAACTTTCTTTTTTAGTAAAATTGGGAAAATTTAAATGTTTATGAAAAATCTCAAATTGTAAGGGGTGAACCTTGCATTTTTTAGCAAAAAAGGGCAAAATCAGGTGCTTATGAAAAATGTCAGATTGTAAGGGGTTCACCTTGCATTTTTAGCAAAATTGGGCAAAATCAGATTTGTATGAAAAATCAAAAATTGTAAGAGGTTAACCTTTGCCCAATTAGAGCAAAATCAGATGTTTCTGGAAAATTGCAGATTGAAAGGGGTTAACCTTGCATTTTTAGCAAAACTGGGCAATATCAGATTTTTATGAAAAATCTCAAATTGTAAGGGGTGAACCTTGCATCTTTAGCAAAATTGGGCAGAATCAGATGTTTCTGAAAAATTTCAGATGTAAGGGGGTTAACCTTGCTTTTTTATCGAAATTGGGAAAAATCAGATTTGTATGAAAAATCAAAAATTGTAAGGGGTTAACCTTTGCCAAATTAGGGCACTAAAAAAACCCCTTACATATGAAATTTTCAGATGTAAGGGGGTTAACCTTGCCTTTTTAGTAAAATTGGGCAAATTTTAATGTGCATGAAAAATTTGAAATTGTTAGCGGTTAACCTTGCATTTTAGCAAAATTGGGCAAAATAAGATGTTTCTGGAAAATTTCAGATGTAAGGTATTATCCTTGCTTTTTTAGTGAAATTTGGCAAAGTTAGATGTTTATGAAAATTTCAAATTGTAAGGGATGAACCTTGTATTTTTAGCGAAATTGGGCAAAATCAGATCTTTCTGGAAAATTTCATATTGTAAGGGGTTAATCTTGCTTTTTTAGTGATATTTGGCAAAATAAGATGTGAATGAAAAATTTCAAATTGTAAGGTGTTAACCTTGCTTTTTTAGTAAAATTGGGAAAATTTAAA